AGGAGGTGTGTGCAGTTGTACAGGAGGCGTGTGTAGTTGTACAGAAGGTGTGTGTAGTTGTACTGGAAGCGTGTGTAGTTGTACAGGAGGCGTGTGTAGTTGTACAGAAGGTGTGTGTAGTTGTACTGGAAGCGTGTGTAGTTGTTCAGGAGGTGTGTGTGGTTGTACAGGAGGTGTGTTCAGTTATATAAGAGATGTGTGGTTGTACAGGAGGAGTACATACTTGTGTTATACTAGACATGCGGAGTTAATATGAAGAGCACTCTGTTATACAGGAAGTGACATAGCCATAAGGCACGTGTAGGATGAGGGCATTCTCCTGCTGCCCTCCTGTAATGGATGCCCGGGCTGTTTGTTTCCAGGGTCACCCCCAACCAGGGATGGCAGTCTGTCAGGGTCCCCATATCACGGTGTGGCCAGCAGCCCAGACCACTCCCCCAGCCACAGCCCCCGCCGTCGGGCCCGAAGAGATCGGGTTGGAGGGGAGAGCCCCGAGCTTGGGGAGGCCAGCGACGACGACAACCACCTGGTAACCGTAATAAACACTAGCGCCCCCCTGGTGGGAAAGTGCACCACACCCTCACCACTCTTCACTACAGTCACACTACTAAAATCAACCAATACCACAGGCAGAGTAGTGGTGAGTAACGTGGAGGCACATCCTGAAGTTTAATGATTAGAGCCCGAGGCTCTTGCCTGGGGAGGTGCTTTATTTAAACTTGTTTATTTGGGTAAACAGTTGTACATGTTTTACATTAGAGTGCCGGTTAGTTAACACTTTTTCAGTCCGATGCGCTTGGAATGCTTCATGCGGTCTGTTCAGGAAAGTACAGGCTGTACGCACACAGAGGGCTAATGGGACTGGTGCCGCTGGGTTTCCGGCCTGGATCTCCGAGATAAGCCCAGCAAAGCAAACAGCCGTGCGGGAAATTGTACCTGAATTGGGTTTGAAAGCTGAGGACCTGGAGCTGCACACAATCACGGGGTGTCGAGCGCCGTGCGGCGTCCCAGTGAAACAGACGTGACTTTGGATCTGGTCCGATTTACACTCCCACACAGGAACGGGGGGGGGGGGGGGGGATGGGAAACCAATGGCTGAAAACATTTTCTTGTCAGTTTGCAGAGATTTATATATAGATTAATATAGACCGTTATTATTTCGCAAAACCCTGAGGACCTAATTATCTATAATTACCCTGGAGTGTGTCCCTACCTGGGTGACACATTAAGTGCTTTCTCTCCCCTTCTCTTGGCATTCGCAACAAAACCAGAGCATCAATTACCAGGTAGCACAGCGGAGGCCTGCGCCCCCTCTCCCGCCAACACAGCGTCGCATTGTTCGGCGACAGGTCTCACATGGGGCCGGGAACGGCACACCACAGGGCCCCCCCTCGTTACACCTCCCTCGCTCTTCCCATCACCTGTCTGGCCCTCTTTGCCACCCCCCACCCCCCTTTGTCTCTACTTGTTTATTCCTGCACTCGCCTTGCTCAGCGTCCTGAGTGTGAGCTGGAAGACTGCCCCCTAATGGGGGGTAGTGCATCCTACAGGTTAATTCTGAAACACTCACGGGTAGCTGCAGATGGAACAGGTCACCATTCTAATTAAGGGACAGGTGAGAGGCAGGAGGAGAGCTACAGCTGGACAAATGCTAGAAATTGCGTTTTTGGCCACTGAGGGTTCTGGTGAGGTACAGTTGTGACTCAGTAAACTGACAATGTAACACCTGCAACCCACCAACTTCATAAGGTTTGTGCGTGTGTCATGTGCGCCTGTGCAGTAATTATGTCCGTTCCTCACACAGATGAATCCCCACAGTTCTGACCTGGAAGACGACATCTGAGAGCGACAGCTGAGGTACGGCATCTGCGGGGAGCCCAGCTCTCCCATTAACATTCTAATAAAAATGTGTGTGTGCTACATCCAAAGTCCGGAAAATCAGCGCCCCCCCCCCCCCACACTGTTATCAGTAATTTGGCTCTCAGCAACACAGCTTCATTGTCACTGGGTTTTCCAATTTAACAGGAGCCTGGTGACAGAAGGGGGTGCTATGCATGGGAGGGGAGAGGCCGCCGCCAGTCCAGCAGTTGCCATGGAAACAGTCATCTCCAGTCCCGCCCACCCTCATCCTCACAGCACTCAGCGCTAACCAGTGTTCGTCTGTAGAATCCCTCCTGGTTTCCCTCAAGCCGATTCCATTTGCAGCAGGCTCACGCAGGCCTGCCGCCATCACACACTTAGATCCGGCTTTCCTGCATTTTTACAGGCACCTTTGCGGATGTCATTATTTTACCTTCTTAGCTCGGTCGCCGTTTTCCTGCCCACCAAAAAAAAAAAGTATATTTTAGCTGTCATGGAAATGGAAGCTTATCTAGAGGAATGTGCTTCATATCAGCCTGACAGCTTCGCTCCAGGGAGACGCACACCAAACACACGCACGATGGTGTCCTCAGAGAGATCTCCATCTGCAGATAGTAATTATCCTCCACAATGTGAAAGTTAAAGCATACTAAATGGTTTATTATCAGTTTCTTCTAAGTTATGCCAGCAGTGCGTGTAATAAATGCTCTTACTGGAGAATCATACAGCGGATCGATTAAATTGTTTGAGGTGAATTCGGACTCGACCGTCATATGTCTGTGTTTCTGTTGTTTTTTGTGGTAAAAGGCCTGACTGAGACTTTGGCAGAATTTAGCGACAGGCGTTAAGGGTGGACTCTTGTGTGGGGGGGGGCTTGTCTTCTCCACAGCTCATAGTCCCACTCGCCTTTATCCGTGCTGCGTTCCCACGGTAATTCAGCCAGAAAAGCCCAGGTCAATATGACAGAAACTGTCAACACATTGTTATCAGGCAATAATTAATTGCACATCCCTCGCGAAGCGGGTGGGGGCGGTGGTGGGCGGGAGACTGGATCCCGCCGGTGCTGAGATTGCCTCCCCATTTGACAAGGCTGTATGCAGGATGGTGAGCTGCTTGTTGACAGTGCCCCCTGCCTGTGCTCGCTGAAACTGACTTGAAGCTGTAAAAGCCTTGCATACATTTCATGTGGGTGGATCCTGCTGATTTCAAAGTTGTAGTCATAAAGAAGACCCTCCAACATGCTGGGTATGGCCTCTGTCAAAATTCTTGACTCCTGGTGACATCCTTAATGGCTTTGTACAGTGTGCCATGTAGCTTCCATACTTACTGATCCCGTATCTGTCCACCAGGCTGTTCATGGCATTGTTTTTACTGACTATTTTCTCAGATAATGATAAATACACTGCAGTCATTTAATAATGCAAGGTTTCAACTGCCCAGACAAACAAAAGTAAAAGAAAGTTACATAACATAGAATGTGGTTTGCTTCCCTGTTCCAGCCATCGATTGGTGGCTCATTGTGACATCACAGGCCTGTACCACCCTTTGTCCTCTAACACTTCCATCTCCTGAGATATCATTTGCCTCTGCCTTTGCATGAGTGTTCTGTCAGTCAAAGACAGAGGGACGGAGTGTCCACTAATTGCAATGGTGATGGGAAGGTCTTCTTCACGGCACATCCTGACCTTCTCTCAGGGGTTGAATCCTGCCCCCCCCCCCCATGCCTGTTAAAAAACCCAACCATGGCACAGGCTACAAAAACAGGTGCGTGTCTGTGTGTGTCTGTGTGTGTGCGAGCAAACAAGAGCCATATTAAAAATGGTCACAGGCTTAGTTGCTAGAAAGGTTATTGTAGAGTTTATTATTATCTTGATTATTGTCAGTGTAATTAAGTTAATCAAAGCATGGCTCATTTAGCAAGCAGCAGTTGTCAAAAGTGGCACGAATAAGACTGACTCTTTTCAGCCCGTGAGGTTTAGCCATCAAGACCCCAGTCCCCCAGTGTAAACATATAATAACAGTCAAACCTGTTCCCCTTCCATGTATTGACTGCTGTGGGCTGGATCACTAATGGGGTTAGTGTGTAATACTGTGTAATATTGTAAACTTTCTTGTATCTTGTCAGCTCAGTCTGATTTTACCCAGCATTTGTTTTGGGGTTTATTTGTTATTTTCAATGCCATTTTTTTTGTTATAAATACTTCCTGTGCTGTTTTTTGTAGATTATTTGTCTTGTTTTATTTTCTCTGCCTTCATACAAGCTGAGTGGGAACAAGTACATTGTAACGGTAGTAAAATATTTTCATATTGATTATATCTGACTCCGGCTGTTCTTATTTCAGTCCTGATTAAGGTACTGCGCTACGACACCATATCAAAGCAGAAGAGACTGTCCGCGTATGAAATTACTTACAGTCTGAGTTTCGCTTCAGTCACTTACTGTTAATGAAGTTCTGCCCCAAAACAAGGAGGCATCCGACGTATGTGAGATTCCAACCAACAACCCTGGCCACGATGTAACGCTAGAGGACATAATATTTCCTAAAAAAAAATACAAATAAAAAAGTGGCACTTTACTCTCGGCTTGTCGTCAAAACATATAGAAGCCAACAAATTTCTTGCTGTCAGTTACGAACACTGTGAATTTAAATTACGTCACTTTATTTTAGTCCATTATTTACGTTTTATGCCTAGTGATTTTATGCAGTTTCCCAGGACATTTTATCAAGAATCTCACTGAGGACATTCTGCTTAAAACCTCAAAACAGAGCATACTTTATCGTGAACAAGGAATGCTGATAGACATTTGATCCATTGTTTGAGAACACAGCAGGAATATATTGTCACCGACGTATAAAAATCACCATAAGCCATTCTTGATAATGCACAAAATGTCAAAAAACGTATTCGATTTTCTCATTTTATCATCTTAGCAGCATGGTAGGCATGTTTTATCACATTAAACTGTTCCTGTATAATGTAAATAAAAACACTGAAAGCCGCTGGCTGGGCTTGGGCAACTCGCGTGCTCCCGCGATGAGGTGACAGCATTCACACGCGGACTGGGTACACGGGGCACCGGCATTCCTCCGTCACAAGGCTGGTCAGTCCAAGGGCATAACTTTGGTTTGGGTTGACACTCATTTAATTGGGTCCAGGGGGTTACAACACATAATTTACACCGATGGGTCATATACAGTGCTGCTTGAAAGTATGTGAACCCCATGAGCAATTTAGATGTGTCTGTTGTTTTACCGTGATTTTCTTATTTTATCATCACCAGTTTTTATGTCTGAAATGTCAGGTATATGTTTATCAATTGCATGTACTTGTTTAGTGGGACTTGTTTAAGTAGCCCAAAAACTACATGAAACATGGAATTAGTGTATGTGCACAAGTAAGTGAACCTGCACTGGTTAAGTCAAGCAGGTAACAGACTCAGGTGAAACACATTTGGGTGCTTAATTAATCATTTAAGTAGACCAATGAAATGAGACATCCTTGGAAAAGGGTTTGGCCTGCACTAATTAAAAGAGAGAGGAAACCAACCAAACCACTGTGGTCCCGTACAAATCAACAATGCCAAGAGGAAAGGAGATACCCGAGGACATGAAGAAGAGGGTAGTGACAGCCCATCAGTCTGGGGAGGGCTATACGACCAGCTCCAAAAGATTCCAGCTCCATCCATCCACTGTAAGACAGATCATTTACAAATGGAGGGCCTTCAACATGACAGCAACTTTGCCTAGAAGTGGATGCCCATCAAAAATATCACCCAGAAGCACCAGAAAAATAATAAATCAGGTAAAGGTCAACCCACACATCACCTCGAGAGAGTTGCAGACCTCTCTGGCAGCATCTGGGACAAATGTGCATCGTCTACAATCAGACGAAAATTGAATAGCCCTGACATTCATGGGAGGGTTGCTAGAAGGAAGCCTCTGCTCTCAAAAAAGAACAAAGCTGCTCGTTTCAACTTTGCCAGAGAACACTTGGACAAACCAGAGGCCTTCTGGAAGTCCATTCTCTGGACAGACGAGTCCAAAATAGAATTATTTGCTCACAATCAAAACCGACATGTTTGGAGAAAAGCCAACACGGCATATGAAGAAAAGAACCTCCTCCCAACAGTGAAGTATGGTGGTGGAAATGTGAAGGTCTGGGGCTGCTTTTCTGCTTCTGGACCTGGACGACTCCATATTATCCAAGGAACCATGAATTCTTTGGCATATCAACAAATTCTTGACCAAAATCTCCTGCCATCAGTCAGAGAGTTGAAGCTGGGACGAAAATGGATTATGCAACAAGACAATGACCCAAAGCATTCCAGCAAAACTACAAAGGAATGGCTTCAGAGAAAGAGGATTCGCACTCTGGATTGGCCCAGTCAAAGTTCGGACCTTAACCCAATTGAAATGTTGTGGCGAGACCTGAAGAAGTTGGTACATGCCAGATGTCCCTCCAACCTCTCTCAACTGGCTGAGTTCTGCAAGGAGGAGTGGGCAAAAATCCCCATAAGCAGATGTGAGAGACTGGTTAGTGGTTACAGGAGACGTTTGGTTGAAGTAATGGCTGCAAAAGGAGGAGCCACAAGCTACTAATACAAGGGCACATGTAAAATTTTCAGTTTTTGTGAAATAAACCACCTTTGTTGAATTAAATAATGAAAATATATCTCTTTTTGTGTGTATGTCCATTATTTGGAAGGTGTGCTTTACAAATTGGGATTTGGGTGTATGTGTAATAAGGTTATTTTAATGTTTTTTACAAAAACAGTGACCATGTTTGGAGGGTTCACATACTTTCAAGCAGCACTGTATATATATATAGCCTATGTGTGACATAGGCCCCCGCCTTCGCCGCCAACTTCTGAGGGGGCACCGACTTAGCCAGCAAAGTTGTTTTCCTCTCGGGCGGGGGCCGCCGGCAGTGATGCGATGCTGCTCTTGGGCGCAAAGTCAAATATTTTGTGTGATGGATTACTTAACGTATATATATATATATATATATATATAACAATAGGCTATTAGGCTATAAGAAGTATCTGTTTTCTGGCTCCATTGGAAGTTTGCAGACCATTCAGAGATTTAAAAAGGGTTTAAAGTGTTTTTTAAAAAAATAATAAAAAAAAAAACCTTTACGGGTAATGGTCTAGACTGGATTGATTTGAATATTAAATTTATCCCTTTATTTTTATTCCTTTACTAGAGGCAAGGTTTAATCCTGTTTGAAACTTCGTTAACAATTATTGGTTGTTTATGCTGAGAGTGGCGTATCTTGGACTATGGCCAGAAGGTCGAACTTTTGTAAGTACAAACTCCGTATCTGAGAAGATAAAGGCCATTCACCTGAGAAAACAGCATAATCTCCCTTTTCAGGCTATTTTAAAGAAATATCTTACAACTGCTTATACTGGTCAGGGTCGCGTGGATTATTATCTTACAATATATACATATATATTATGTGATTAATGTGTTCTCGTTGGCTAAATGGAAATTGTCATATGGTACAACAAAAGACGCGTGTGTTTGCGAAAGTGGACTGGGAAGGACAACAGCATCTGACATTGTTGATTGAGATTTGAGTCTTCGTCCGATATTTGAAGTAACACGTTGCAATCCCTGCCTTTATAGGCCAGTTCAGCTACTAATTGTCATTACGTCGAAGGCCGTGTGCATGAGTTCAAACCGATTAAAACGCATAAAGGATCACATTCTGTCTGAAAATCAGGTACTGTTTTTCCACTTTCCCGTTTTATCACCGATGCAGTAAATGATTTTGAGATTATTAATTACATCATCTTTAATGTAAAACATACATATCATATGTTTATTATTTTAATTTTATTTATTTGTATCTATAACGAAATGCATGTACCTGCGTCTTCTTAAGCCGAATCATTTAGACTATCTGAAAGACACGTATTAGCGCTAATTTACGCAATACGTGACGTTGTCGCCAGCTGCTCTGTATAGGGGAATTTACACCATATTTGCGTAATTCCCTTGGGTTTCCGACAAGAATATAATTTTATTTTGACAAGAGAATAATAGTGAAATAATGTTCCTATGTGTTTTCATATTATATCCATCCCCGTGATTTTATTCATATTGCAAATGACGTGGCCAACCCCATATTTCAGTAGGCCTAATTAAAAGTTTTTGAGGAAACACTTGATTCCTTTTTTAATTTAAAACTTCAGGGTAGATAACGAACGCCCTGCACGCAAACACCGCGGAAATCCTAGCGTCATTCAACCTTTCCTCGCGCGCCCTTTAAGTACTGTACACCATAACTTCGGTCTTCTGTTTTAGCCGCCAAATCTGGCTTCTCTCTGCGCACATTAATATTAAGTAATTGATCAAATGTACTGCCCTCACTAATTTGTTACAGGGCCATTTTGGTTTTTACAAGTGCAAAATTATGTAATTATGCTTGTGCTCGCCCGCCCACACAAACACATGTTTTATTTATATGCATATTTCCAAATATTTAACAACTGATACAAAAAACCCACACAATTTTAAAGAAAGATGTGAATTAAGGTCAACTGTGCTACCACAGGTGATTTTATAAGTAATTCTTTGTCTGACCCTTGAAGGGTTGGACGGTATTCATTAATCTTGCTTCCATGCCCCCACCCAGTGCTCAGGAATGGCCACTCCTGAGGGCAGCCCACTCACCACCCATGTGCTGAACACTGCAGAGGGCGTCCCAGGGTCCCATATGGCCCTCAGCCTGCACCGCCTAGACACCGGCCTGGCAGTCTGGAGCCTTCTGTCCATGGGGTAGGAGAGTATGATGAGGAAGGCTCTCGCCATGAGTCACGCAGCCAACAGCTTGGGAACTATCCTTATTATTTGGCACAGGCCAATTGTTTTTAGATGAATTACAAACATGATTTCACAGCAGAAACAGTCCTGGGAAAACTGAGACTTCAGATCCTGAGGTGGATGGTATTCCTGTGCAGTGTCAGACACGGACTTGTGAAACAGACTCTCTGCCGTGTGGCTTAACTTTCTACTGTTATTTGTTCCCATTTTGTTAAAACTGACCATAAATGTCAGCAAATGCATTCTCACCATCACGAGTTTTCCACAGTTCTAATATCACTAAGAAACAGACCGGGTTCCTCTGTTCCCAAGCGCCCAATAACCTTGGGTTCAATTAAGATATGAATCGGGTATATTAGATATTATATAATAGATATATATAATAGATATTATATATTAGATATAAATTTTCAAGATTGTATGTAAGACAGTGACAGTGAAATGTCCCCCTGGCAAATATTGCCGATGGAGGGTGTGATGTTGCCACCAGGTTATTGAAAAGTGGCACATAAAACATCAAATGGGGGCATTTCCATTTTTTAGGGTAAAAGCAGCACCCATCCCCAACCCTCCACCCCCAACACATGCCTGGAGACAACATTCATCTCGGTCTGCTGGCTGCACCAGTGTCTCGGGTTAAAAGCTGCACTTTGCTGCAGTAACTCTACAGGTGTGTAATTGCAGAATCACCAACGATGACGGCCGCTGCACAGGACTCATCACCAGAGAGGCTTTCACACCGGGGATGTACAAGATGCGCTTTGAGACTGGAGAGTACTGGGAGCACCGGGGACAAAAGTGTTTCTATCCATATGTTGAGGTGAGTGGGAGGCCCCACAAAGCCAGTGTTTGTATGAACCTTTAATGAAATTATATAAGGGCTCAAGCTGTCACAGGTTAAGTTAAAGCAGAAGAGGTCCAGGTTACATGACATTTTTGTGAAGTTTTACCTCGCTTCTGGTCTGTGTTTTTTTTTTTCCCCAGGTTGTCTTCACCATAACTGATTCTACAAAGAAGTTCCATGTGCCTCTACTTCTGAGCTGCTTCTCTTACACCACCTACAGGGGGAGTTAGAGAGTACATTGGCTCCCTTAACCTCTCTCTCTCTATATATATAGTATGAGCAACAAACGAGAATGAATTAATTAAAAGGGCAGACATGGATAGTTACATGTAGAAACAGTAATATGTAATGTCTCCATAACCAAGCATAATTTAATGCTTGATTAATACTGGGACAATTTTATTGTTATTACAAGATTTTATATATCTGGAGTGTTTTGTCTCATTTGGCATTTAATAACTAATTAAATTAATTAAAGATTAATTGTCCTGAATTATTAATTGTCCTGAATTCTTGAATAAAATACAGTCTGATATATATGCTTAGTTAATTGTATTTGTTTTCTTTACAAATATAGTGTACTGACTTGCAATGATAAAGCTTAAAATCAAAACTGATACAAAAATGAATTCAAAATTATGAATGCTTAGTGAATCAATGATTAATAAAATGCAGAATGGTGTTCTTTGTACTTTACGCTTGTGCAATAAACCATTGATGTTATTAACGACGTTTTGAAATCGGAAACACAACAATTCTTGGAATGTACTTCTATTTTTGGTTTCAATCATTCTCCGCCGGTTCGATTGGTTACGTCTAGTTACGTGTGCGGTGACTCTGGGATCGATTGGCTCTGTGTAGACGGAGGCCCCGCGTTTGATAGCTTGTATCACGTTGGGTCCGAAATCTTCGTTTCATCCTCCTCCCTGTGCCTTCGCTGACAATGGCGGACGAAGAGCTGGAGGCTATCAGGCGGCAGCGTATGGCCGAGCTTCAAGCCAAACATGGGGTAAGGTGAAAATGTGAAGTTACGAGAAGCTCGTGCTTTTGTTGAAACGGGGACGCGCGATAGGCCGACTCAGTGCCAGCTAACTGTATAGCTCCTGAAACGGATCAAAAGTCTGTTAGCTGCCTTTTTTGTTCTATATGTATTTAAATAATGCTTTTGTTTTGTAACTAGTGGGTTGTGCGATTGTCTTCTGGAAAGCAGATCCGAAGCTCCGCCCATTTCAGGCGCCAGTTAGTTACCATTACCTGGTGACTGATAACCAGTATTGGACCTAAGTGATGATAACTGGGTAGCTGATATGCACGTTGTTCCGTATTGTAACTGCACTATTCACCGACGCAATAATCATTAATATGTTATTGATTACAAATGTTATTTATTGTAAACCATAGAAATTTGCCTACGCCTTTTTTTCAGGTCTGTAATTTTTATAATCACCACGTTCACGTTCAGGGATTGCATCGATGTGACGTCCTGTATTTTATGAACAGTAAAACAAAAAGTCCACTTTTGATAATACACTAAAACGATGGAAATCTAAATGCCAGCTTCACAAAAAATGAAACTGTGATAAATAGATGGTGTATTCTTGGATGAATGAGTGTCACCCGTTTTATCCAGGTGGTGTGGGATCTGCCGGGCTTGGTAAGCCATGCTGAGGAATGCAGCATATAATGAGGAATCTGGCCTATTTCTGGTGGCTGTTTTTGCCAATGCATTCCATGCAGTTTGACATAAATACCTTGCTTTGCAGAGTTATGGCAGATTGGCTGTTAAACTAGCTTCTCAGCTTTGGTCAGTTAGTGGTGTTTTACATCAAATTACTTCAAATGACAATCGGGGCTAGATTCATGCTACTTACATTTAAAATTCAAACACCCTGAGCAACTAGGTTAACAAAATAATATTCCGTATGGAAACTGTAAACTACACTGTAACAGGCAGGTTTGTTTAAGTGTCCTGCCTCCAAGATAATTGCAGCATTAATGTGCTTCTTCAGCAAAGAATCTAATGAGAAATGTTTCAGACATTTGCACTAGGCAGATGCAGTAAATGGACATGTGCAGGAGAACCTGAGCACCTGCCCGATTTACCCAAAGTATTTAATTTGAACTTGTGCATGAGCTTTAAAGGTACGGAGTGCCCTTTTTAACATTTGAGCACCTGCCCCTCAAAAAGTCTCTAAACAGCCCTGATGAAAAACTTTGGAAAAATCTTAAAAGTATTGATGTATCTCTCAGTAAAAAGATCAGAATTGTTCAGGATACGGCCGTTTTCTGTGTGAAAGAAAAATGTGAAGGCTGGACAAGAAAAACACCAGTGACTTTGGTGCTGGAGAAGACTTTTAAGAATATCATGGAAAACATGTTGAGTCTTTCACTTGGAACCCAGATTACCAGATTGCGCACTTCATGAGAAGACCTAGTGCCTTTGAAAAGATCGTAATTTTTGGGAAAGCTAAAGGTAAAAGAGGGCGAATTGCAACAAGATGGACTCATCTGTCATAACAATGAAGACGTGGATGAGAAGATAGAATGTTCTGGAGGAATGTTGTCAATGTGGTCATCATTGACGTCATGTCACCCAGTAGCAATGACGGTAATTCATGTATGTGTGTGTGAAACAAAGGTGACCCATTAAGGGCAAAAGCTGCAGAACGGGCTTCCTCTATGAGCCCACGGAACCTGAGTTGGAGGTAACCTTTGCTCTCCTTCCGTTTGTTAGGATTCTGCAAATGGCCAAGGGCAAGAGGAGGCTAAGCAGAGGTGAGGGTTCCTGGAAATGGCTCCTCTGCCGCTTCCTTCGTGGAGCAGCTGTGGCTGCTGACCGCTGTAGAGTGCATGATACTGTGGTAATTTTGTTTGTGTTATTAGGATGGTCTGTCTAATGCAGAGGCAGGAGGCTCCCTTAAGTCTTATCAGACTCATTCCATTAGAATTCAAAAACATGTGTTGACCAGAAATACAAAAAGTAAATGTCCCTGAACTGGTTTGTATTCTGATTGTAGATAAATGAAGTAGACATACATGTAATGTTTATTTGACTGTATAGTTCCTTACTTACAAATAATAATGATAATAATACTGCGTATTATTTATGTGTTTTTTTTGCAGAGATAATGACATGAGAAACACGATCTTGGCTCAAGTCTTGGATCAATCTGCCCGTGCCAGATGTGAGTATACCTGGAATTTTTCATTTCATCATTTTTTTTTTGTAAGAAATTTTAGCATTTGACAATTAAACCCAAGGTGGGAAACATTGTTGCCTTGTTTTACAAAATGTGAACCAATGGGTAGTGAATTAAAGAAGTGAGTGTTGGTATAAGCCAGTGGTTCCCTGACTGGGGGGCACACCAATGGGATAGCCTCAGGGGCATGTGCCACCCTAAAATAATCTCTTCACAGACTGGACGATTAAACAAATAAAGCAGCGCAACATTACAGTAACTAACAATAAACAAACCACTAACTTACGTGTACTATTAGAGCATTTATGTAATTTATTAACTTTATTTTACCAGGTAAATTAACTGAAAACCAGTTCTCACTGCTTTACGTGATATTTGGGAGAAATAGCACATAACGCATCGGAACTTCCTGGGATACAAACGTCATACAAACGACACGTTCTTCAGCCAATAAGGGCAAAGTTGTGTCGTCACGGAGGCAGTTCCAGTTTGTTCAGCCGGCTGAGAGACGCTGTACCATCTGTCTTAAGTCGTCTTGCTCCTGCAAGATTTTTGTACCATGTGACATGGTGACGCGTGACGACGTTTTGCAGCGCCGGACAATAAAATCTAACCATAAATTTAAAAATTTCTACATGAAGTGCAGGGAGACTATCAATTAATGGGTATGATTTAGTGTTGTTTTGTGCTATGGTATAGGCTGAAACCTGCGGTTATCATTAAAAGCATAATGCGGTAAACGTAAGACAAACTTTAATTTGTGTACGTCAATGAATATTAACAGGAACGTTAAATCTGCATTTGCATAATTTCAAACTTATGCTGGACTTTTATTTTTAATTGATTGCTCTTTTTTCTCCCACAGTGGTGAAATTGCACCATTTGTATTTTGTAATTGCATTTGTTTCGCTCAATTAGAAAAGGGAGTTGTATTTCAAATAAAGTTTGAATCTGAACCTGTGTAGTTTGAATGGGGGGGGGGGGGTCAATAATGTTCCTATCTAGAAAAGGGGGGCCCTGCAGAGAAAGTTTGGGAACCACTGGTATAAATAAGCTAACCTCATCTGGTGCTATTATTGGGGTCTGTTTGGGTTGTTTCAGCCACTAGGTGGCGTTGCTGTTTAACATGGTGTTCTTTTCCAGTGAGCAACCTAGCTCTAGTGAAGCCAGAAAAGGCAAAAGCTGTGGAAAATTACCTCATTCAGATGGCACGCTTCGGCCAGCTTGGCGGGAAGGTGAGAGCGATAAGGGTTGGCTTGATTCACACCGTTGAGTTGGCATTAAAATTATTCCTTGGTGTTTACTTATGATCCTGTCCCCTGCTGTGTTTACTTGTTTTGGTGGAACTAAACTGAAAGCTGTTGCAGGCCAAACTACTGAACTCATTGCTTTTTCATGAGAGAAAGTCTTCAGAAAAAATAGTTTATAACTTATTAAAATTCCCACCGTCAGAATAGCACAGTAGCTCAGTGAGTTGCACTGTTGAACACTTCTGGGTTGGGGGCTTGAATCTCAAATTAGCTCTGTGTCTGTGTGATTTGTGTGTCCTCTCTGTCCAACACGTTTCCTTCAGCCACTCTGGTTTCTTCTCATAGTCCAAAGACATGCATTTAGGCAAATTTGCATCTCTGAATTGTTCATACTGTATGCTAATGTGTGTATCTTTGCATGTGTATTCCCTGTAATGGACTGGCATCCCATCTAGGGGTCACCCCAGCCTTATGCCCTATGCTGCCTGCGATTGACTCCAGGCCAATCCCTCATGATCCTGACCAGCAGCTGTCAGAGAGCCAAATTCCAGGCAGCTGGATGGATAGATAATTCTTTCCGGAAAATATGTGGAATCTGGGGTTAAAAACTGCACGCAATGTTTACCTTTCAGATTTCAGAATCGGGGTTGATAGAGATCCTTGAGAAGGTCAGTCAGCAGACAGAGAAGAAGACAACAGTCAAGGTAAGATGTTTGTCTGAAAGCAGAAGTACCTCCTGGACCATCTGAGTGTACTCCAGGGCACCTTAACCAGCTACCATAGGGGCATTCTCAAAAGGGGGGGCATTCTCAAAAGGGGGCCCGATATAAAGCCTATTAATATAATGGCAACATCAAACAAAAATAGTGAAATTGCAGGTTGCATACATATGAGAATACGGCTTTAAAATCTTTGTATTCTTTTGGAATCTGGCTGTATTTCATTCAGACTGTCTGTAGTGCAGGGCGTGGTCATACTACAGAGTGTTATAAGACAGAATAAATGTGGATGGTGTTTATATTAATATAGTGTACAAAGGTAAATTTAGCTTTGAAGCCACTATCTCATTACTCCAGCTGCTTCTCATGTGGACTATGTCTGTGTCTCAGTTCAACAGACGACGGGTGATGGACTCAGACGAAGAGGATGAAGACTGACGGGAGCAGGGAATGGCAGGGGTGGGGTGGGGAGGTGGCCACCGGTTGCGTCTGAGGCTATGCCGTCCGTAATCGGCTGCTTTGCATGAGGAATACATCCTGGACGACACGACTCCTTTACCCCTGCGGGAGTATGAACTCCTTACTCATTTATCTTTAGTTCCCCCCTCCCCTCTAATTTCTGTATTTTTTTCTCTCTTTGGCATTTGAAGTGGAGCAAATGCGGTGTGTAGTGTGTGACTGTTGCTGCATTTTTATAAGGAGTTCCTATTAAGCTGGGCCGTCGTTTTTGGCAGATGCATTTTTGATTTTTCCCTTGCTGAATGGTCCTATGAGCCGTTTACATCATTCGAAGGCCTTGATCTTAGTTATCCGGCCACCTGGTGCTTCTCCCACAGGTGCAGCCCTGCACATTAGGGCTCTGGATAGTTTCAGGTGGGGAGACACACTGGCTGATATCTTGCCTATAAACTGGGACATTGCAAGATCATTCTGATAGAAAAAGTGCCCTGTAGGAGGCTTATTGGTCAAATTGTAGTGGACTGTAAAGTATTGGCCATCGTATAAGCTGGGCACCTTGTTTCGTTGTAATTTTTTGTTTTTGAAATGCCATCACTGCAGATGCCTATATCAGCTTGATATTGGTCCATGCTTATGTTTCAAACGGTAAAAACCCATCTAAACAATACAGGCCCTGAAAAGTTATGTTTTCCTGTCAATGCCAACTTTGAAATAAATTTAATTTTGTTTAAAACGTGAGTTGTGAAATTCTTCTTAAATAGTTTTGCTATTATAATTTGTAAAGAAATATGCGGAAATATTTTCCTTTGTTTACCCATTTTTCTTACCCAAACTACAAATAAATTTGAATTAAATGCAAATAAAACTTTCAAATATAATATAACCGATGGGTTCGACACGCGCGTACAGACAGTGCTCAAAACCGTGTGTACGTTCACTATTTGTTATTTTTCGGCGTACTGAGTCTGCGCGATTGTCTGACCTTACTTTCGTATGAGCATGGCCTGATTACTCTCATTGGTTACTACTTGCCTAGCGCAATTTCGATTGGTGGAGACCTCTTGCTATGCTCTTCACTCCAGCCAATCGTTGGAGACGCACGGGGACGCACTGTGCCAGCGCAGAGCCTTGTCGGTGTGCACCCGTGTTCATCTGTCATAAAAACTCAGTGTAGAAACACGCCGGATGGTTTGTGTTTGTTATATATAATAAACATGCCAGGGGACTCGGGACACGACATTACGATGGTGACGTGCACAGCACCGGTAAACATCGCAGTCATAAAGTACTGTGAGTATGAATATCTTTAAATGTTTATCTAACCTGGCATTTATACTCACTGTGTTTAGGTTTGGTGCAAATCGCATATGGACTGTAGTATGTTACTCAAAGCCTTTCGGTGATAAGTTATATCTAAAGCGCTGCGTTAGGGGCATAACCAGACGCCCACTTTGGGAAACCTCTTGTGATAGCATACATTAATTTCATAACCGCTGTAACGTGCTCCTCGTCTGGTTCAGAACCGACAAGAATGTCAATCTGACCGTTCAATTCACTGTTTTTCAGGGGGTAAGAGGGACGAAGATTTAATTTTGCCTATCAATTCATCCTTGAGCGTCACACTGCATCAGGATCAGGTGAGAATGCAGCGATGAACGCGCGGACCCTGAGTGGCGGAGAGGGACCGTCATATCACGGCAGCTTCCCGGTGTGTCTCCTCGTTGACTTTTCGGTTGTTGCAGTTAAAGTCGACGACCACAGTTGCCTGCAGCCCACGTTTCAAAGAGGACCGTATCTGGCTCAATGGCAAAGAGGAGAACATCAACCAGCCTCGATTGCAGTCCTGTCTCCGAGAAAGTGGGTATTTGTAAAACAAACAACTATTTGCAAAGTTGAACAGCCGTCATAACTGTATTATGTACATGAGAATCGACAACTCCAATTCATTCCCATGCTAAATCTAACTTTACAGTTTCATTGTCTTAGTATTATGAATACTGTAACTTTATTGTACGCTGCTGGACCTGAGTCACAAATTTCGTTCTCTTCATGCGTCAACATATTAAGAATGACAATAAATGAATCTTAGCCTTAACTATTTATTATTCTTTACCCGTTATTATTTTATACACAATGACTTGGAAATCACTTATTTCTGTCTATTTTTCTCCTGTAGTTGGTACAGCCGGACAGGGTCTAGACTAACTTTGTAAAAAATGTTTCCTCAGTTCGACGACTTGTTCGGAAGAGACACATCGATGGGAACGTTAGCTCAAGTGCTCTCAGCTCGCATCACAAAGTCCACATCTGCTCCGTGAACAACTTCCCCACAGCAGCCGGCCTTGCCTCCTCCGCCGCTGGCTACGCCTGCCTGGGTGAGTTTGTTGGGGGTGGGGGGTCATTCTGTCCCCTTGGTGGGAGGAGCTAAAACGGCGTTGCTGACATCGCTGTACGTGCCGCTCCCCCCGTCAGTGTATGCGCTGGCGCGGCTGCTGGGCGCCGAGGGCGAGCTGTCGGAGGTGGCGCGCCAGGGCTCGGGCAGTGCCTGCCGCAGCATGTACGGCGGCTTCGTGCAGTGGCGAATGGGGACGCAGCCCGACGGCACGGACAGCGTGGCACAGCAGGTGGAGCCCGAGTCCCATTGGCCGGAGCTCAGAGTCCTCATCCTGGTGGTGAGTCATGGGCTTTGGTGGCACTATAAGCAGTGTAGCTGGTGCAGCTGCACTGGGCCCCGCAGAGGCGGGGGCCCCACAGAGACGGGGGCCCCACAGGGGGTCGATGAGCCCTTTTGCGAGAAGGATCATGAGGCCATTGATCTATTATTTTGAATTTCCAAAGTTCTGAGTGTCCAGTTTTCAATTTTTCTTTTTTTTATGACAAGGCTACAAAAGTTTATATTGTATACCTTATGGATATTTCACAAAAATTCATGGTACATCTATAACATTTAGCCATTAACTGTCAAAGGCTTTGTTTGCGTGCATAGACATATGTTCTGAAATGAGGGGAAGCCCACAATGAGTGGCTCTGCAGGCTCAGCCTCTGTGCTTATGACCAGAAGGTCACTAGTCTGAACCCGAGTCTCAGCATAACAGTCACATGTCTGTGGGCCCTTTAGTAAGGCCCTTAACCCCCACGCTTGCTCCCACCTATATATGTGTCGGCGTGTTCTGGAAAGCACGATGCCCAGGGATGCTCTCATACTCAAGTGACCCATAGAAGGATGGCTTCAGCATGACATCATCAACCTGAAATCGAGGACACTGAATTGCACCCCCCCCCCCCCACTCCGGCAGGTCAGCGCAGAGAGAAAGCCAGTTGGGAGCACCGCTGGCATGGAGACCAGCGTGGGAACTAGCAGCCTCTTAAAGGTACAGCGAGCTGTCAGTCTCTGAGAGGCGTCTGCCGCTTTACCTTCAGCTCCCGCAGTTAATACAGTTTAACATATTACTCTGGGTTTTTTTATATGTTATTGTATTATTTGTTTTGCCAGATGGGTTAAAATTCACATGAACTCGTAGTATGTGGCACCATGTGTATGTGGGTGCCCCCTGCCTCGCACCCTGTGGTTCCTGGGAGAAGCTCTAGGCTTACCGTGAACCTGTGGATCAATGGCAGCAGCTTCCGTCTGAGCATTTTGGGTTGCCATGGCAACCAGGGTATCAGCCACGTGATAAGCCAGCAGACCGGACCCACTGCCTCCCCACAGCACCGTGCAGAGAGTGTGGTCCCGCAGAGGATGGAGGAGATGGTCCGCGCCATCCAGCAGAAGGACTTTGCAGCCTTTGGCGAGCTCACCATGAAGGACAGCAACCAGTTCCATGCCACCTGTCTGGACACCTACCCGCCCATTTTCTATCTCAATGACGTGTCACGGCGCATAATCAGCATGGTGCACCGCTACAACCAGCACTGCGGGGAGACCCGGGTAAGAGGCGGAGTCGTAGGGGGGCCGCTGGTGACTGCAGCGGGGTCCCCTGCCTGTAATGTAACTCATTTTGCATTTATTTGTTTTAGAAAACATTCAGTGTGTCCCGATGGTGTGCTTGACATTCAGAACTCAGAAACAAGATATATTCTTAAATAGTTTCTTAATTTGTCACTGGATTTCTTTTTCACCTCCCAAAATCAAATTGACACATTTTGAAAGGGCACTTTTCCACCGCACCAGGTACCGTAATTTTGGTACTTCGAGAAGGTATCAAAAGTGCGGTACTTCAGGGTGTTGTGTTCCACTGGTGTAAAAACTGGTACCGGCGCTGAATGACATCACAATGTGAGGCAGGTATTTTGCTGCGTTATGTGCTTAGCAAGCTTTGCAATTTTAATTTTTATTCCTTTTACAGATTATCAAATATATGTTTAAAAATCGGGGCGACATGGTGGTGCAGTGGTTAGCACTGTTGCCTCACACCTCTGGGACTCCGCCTGGGTCACATGTGTGTGGAGTTTGCATGTTCTCCCCGTGTCGTTGTGGGGTTTCCTCCAGGTACTCCAGTTTCCCCCCACAGTCCAAAGACATGCTGAGGCTAATTGGAGTTACTAAACTACCCGTAGGTGTGCATGTGTGAGTGAATGGTGTGTGAGTGTGCCCTGCGATGGGCTGGCCCCCTGTCCAGGGTTGTTCCCTGCCTCGTGCCCATTGCTTCCGGGATGGGCTCCGGAACCCCTGCAGCCCAGTAGGATAAGCGGGTTGGAAAATGGATGGATGGATGTTTAAAAATCAAAGTTTCCCTCCGGTGCTTTTGCATGAGCGCTGCATGCGTTCTCTGAGACAATCATAATCATTTTCATCCTTGCTGTTTAAATCACTCATAGACGGGATTGTGAGAAATTTATGAACTCCTTTTTACTTTATAAATACCCCAATATTTTTTTACAACAAAATCACATCACTAGGACAGCACGCTATATTCCTGCTGAATTCCTGCGAAATACTTTTAAAATTTCTTTTCATGCCGTCCTGATCTTTTTGTTGTATCAATTCTTCTGACCAGATTGCAGTATTTTTTTTTACTTCACTTATCATTGTTTTCTTAGTTTGAAACTTGTTTCAATATGGAGGTTGTATTGTGTATCAGGGGCAGGGTATTTGCATAACCAATCGACAAAGAAAGCATTTCAGGTCCCACCTCAAAGTACTGAAGTACCAAAGAAATACCCCAGTTGGTTTGGCACTTTTGCTACTGGTACTCTACTGGAAGTCAATGGAAAAGGGAAAGTACCAAAAGTACAGTACTTGGTGTGGTATAAAAGTGCTCAAAGTGAACACAGTAATAGGCACAGGGTTAGTGGAGGAAGTATTTGATAGACAACCAAGTATTTCTGGCTGTCTTCTCTGTCGGAGGACGCTGCTTCTAAAATAGTATTTCCACGTCACGTTGTCTGTACAAAGGCTGCGATCCTCGTCTTCCCACGGGGTTATGAGAAGGTACTGGCTAGTGTACGTGGTGCTAAAAGGGCAACTGCTTGGGGGTTGTGTGAAACTATTCACCAGGAAACAAAAAGTGAAAAGGGTGATTTTTACCACAGACATGGTCTGAATGCCCCCCCTGTCCCCATGCTATCTGATCTGTGGGTCTCTGGCATGCGGACTATTTCCACCACCTGACGTGCGTTGTGTCGACTGACGCTTGCAGGTGGCGTACACGTTCGATGCAGGCCCCAATGCGGTGATCTATACACTGCAGCAGCACGTCCCAGAGTTTGTGGAGCTGCTCAAGTACTTTTTCCCGACGGAGACCAATGGAGAGTGAGTTCCCACACACCGCTGGACATTTTCAGTGACATTTTTAAATTAATCCTTGTGGCTACATTACATCCTGTAAGGATCATTGTATCTTGTGCTGGTTGTCAGTAGGCCTCTGCAGTAAAATGAAGCCCTACCCCCCGTGCTTTAAAACCTGCAACTTTATAGATTATGGACCAATGAAAGTCCAAAAGGTGATCTTTGGGGAGGGGCTGCTACTTCTCTGACCTTAGTCTTTAAAACTGTTCATGTTTTTCTTGCATTTCAGAGTGGACTGTCAATGTGACTGTACTTTAGGCCCAGGGTCTCCCAACCCGCTCCTCAGGGACCCACAGTTGGTCCACATTTTTGCTCCCTCACAGTTCCTTACCAATAGCTGGGAGGGAGCAAAAACGTAGACTGTCTGGAGGTCCCCAAGTACTGAGCTAAGAAGAACTCACCACTATTTTGTGTTTAATGATGAAGTATTCCTGGGCAGATTTAAGAGGGAGTGGATTTTCTGTGTGTGATCTGAAAACGAGTCCGTGCCCCTATGACAGGTTCCTGAAGGGGCTTCCTGTGAGCTCTGTTACGCTGCCTGAGGACCTCACAAAGGCTATTGGAATGGAGCCGCTTCCCGGAGGAATCGGCTACATCATCAGCACCAAGGTGGGAAACACTGCCCTGCGTGTCCTTAATCCTGTTTGTGTGCTGTGACTTTAAGGCCGCGCATGGTGATCCCCTTTAAAGTCTCCCCCAAACGACCACTGCATAGCTCTAACACATATACTACAAGTGCTATGCTAACATCCAGCACCGAGTAAAGCCTCCCATGTCCCGTTCAGGTCGGCCCAGGTCCTCAGGTACAGGAAGACCCTAGCCTTCATTTGCTGGGACCTGGCGGGATGCTCAAGGTGGATGCGTGACCAAGGATCAGCCCCCAACAGCTCAGAGACCTCCAGAAATACAAAACCTGGATATCAGGGAACATTCTGCAGGGAGAAATTGCAGTTACCATTCACATAAACATTAAACAATTAAACAATGCTCAAATTTTTCAGTCCTGTTTGTATGAAAAAAACTTCTGTGTGAGATAATCTGAAATCAGTTGTAATTAACCTCTGAAATGTATGCTTGTACAGATGGGTTTGCAAACATTTTAATACAATTTGTTCTTCATCTACTGAAGCGTAATTTTTTTTTCCGCGGTAACACTTTGAATACTTTCTGTTCTGTGTTTTATTTCAGTTTGTTCCTGTATTTTCTTGTCTACCGATGCAAAATTAATCAATCCATCAGTTATCCAACCTCTGAGCAGGACTGCAGAGGTTTGGAGCCTGTTTTGTGTAGAATAAATCCTGGGTGGGATGTTAGGCCGCGGCAGGACACCCACATCACACACACATCACACCCACAGACATATATTATAGGTAATTTAGAGATAGGAATTACCCTAACCGCATGTCTTGGGACTATAGAAGGAAACCAGATTATCCAGAGGAAACCCACAAAACAGGAGGTGATCATGTAAACTCCACAAATACAGATTGAAACCTCAAACCCTGGAAGTGTGAGCTAGATGTGGACCACCCACTGAGTGACCCCAGAAAATTCATACTTATCGAATATTTACAACTTAAAAATGCTTAACAGGTATAAGAAAATGGACATCGCACATGTACAAAATAATAAAAAGTGTTCAATTGTTTTGAAAAAAATAAAAAATAATTTAATGTACAGGAACAATAAAACCCTATATTTAATCACTCCGGCGTCTGAAAATCATATAATAATTGTATAATAATAATTATTGAAATTTAAAAAACAAACAAAATAGCCCTGCGCCACGTTTATGAGATTCCCTGTATCTTTGCGGTGTTTTCAGTAAGATTTAAAAAGCAGCCAGCAGTACCCTGAGAAGGGGAGCGTGAAAAATGCCGGAAGTGACGCTAGGGCGGGGGTGGGCTAAGGTCACGCCCACTCGAGCCTGTTGGATATATATACAGCGCTTTCATCGGCAGTGTCGCCTAGGGATTCCTGCTTAAGGTTAAAGAGCTGTGTCCTGGTGTCGGATCGTCCGCTATGGGCAAGATAGAGTGGGCTATGTGGGCCAATGAGCAGGCTCTGGCCTCCGGACTCAGTAAGTAAAAACGCTATTTTATCCACCAGTTTACTTGCTTTAAAAATGTAAACTTTTACAACTTTAATATATTGCAGTCGATCTACCTCATTTGTGGATAAATGCGGTATTTATAGATAGTTTATTTTGTTACATCGACCTAGATAGAAAATGGATTTTTTGCTCTTTTAGTTTAATTTTTCTCTTTCATGATTTCGAAATATGTTTTACAAAAGAATCCAAAGACAGTATCACATTAATATGAATGTATAAAGCATCGAAACACTTCTTTATGTTTACTTTTCATTTTCTTTTTGGACAGGAAAATGTCTTAATTCGTGTTTTACTTGAAACTATAACCCCATCGGTCTCTTTTCTTCTCCACTTCCCTCTTTCAGTTCTCCTTACCGGCGGCATCGTAGGGGTTGCCGGCCAGTTCAGGAACTGGCAGTTTGCGGCTTACGGAATGTATCCTTTCATGTGCACCAAAATAATCAGCGATCACTCAAATAATATATATGTATATATGTAAGTCGATAACGGGATTTTAAAATACACAATAGTAATGATTAGTAATAAACTTAATTATTATTAATAATAAAATAACACACGAAGATATATCTGCTGTAGACTTTATGTAGCCTATAAGTCGTTGGTTGATTAAAAAAACTTTATTTTAACGTTCGCTTTTGTCTAATGCAATGCACAAGTGAGGCAAATAGCACATATTTATGCAGCCCTCCAAATGTTGACAAACTTTCGGAAGCTGTTTCCTTGTACTTTTTTACCTTTTAGTGAGCGCAGATCATAAAGGGGGCTGTCTGGGCTGCCATTTGTGGCTTGTTTTGACTAATCCTGTGAGAATTCCTCTTCCCATTATGTGAAGAATATCTGTTCCATTAGCATTCAGACACATACTGATTATAGGGAGTCATAGTGAACTGGCCCTTTTCTGCTCGTAAAGGTTCGCGGAGTTTAGTGTGTTTGCAGCAGATGGGGAGAGCATATCAGTCTGTGGAGCGAAGGGTTTGGCTCACGAGGGCCCTGGGGGCATGTGTGAAGCTGGGAAAGGGCCACACAGTCCGGGCTGAGACTTTAACCCCAATCGCAGTGCTGCAGGGATATTCATCTGCCTACTGGAATATCCGCGGGGCTGCAAGGCCAAAGGCAACGGAGTGCAGCGCCCGTGAGTACCGCGCTGTTCGGCTGCTCCGATGGTTGTTAAAATGAGTGCACCGAAATACCAATGAATGTAAAGAGTGTTGTGATAAGATCGCCTTTCTACTGTTGGCTCACTCTCAGGAATTTACTACGCATACTCTGCCACAAATCTCTGCTTCAGTTCTACGTATTTCCAAACTTTTTGGTAAATATTTTAAAATGTGTCCGTAGTAATTAGTGTGTACAAATAAAATATCAGCTTTTCCTTGATGGTACGAGATTATGTTCAGGTTTTAACCCTCTTTTGGATCTTTTAATATAAATGTTATTTATGGTGCTGGTAATACCACATATTTATTTTGGCTTAGAATTGTATAAGTATTGTATACTAAGCACATTAGAATGGTCTTTACTGCTTGTTGAAAAATCACCTTTTTTAATCGCACTGATTTATATCACACTGATTTTATGTGTCTGTACTTGAGTACTATGAAGACTAACATCGATAATTTAGTGAATTTGAATTAAAGTTGATTGGATTTTTTTTAAATGTTCATTTTAACCCCCTTATCTCCATGTGCTGAGATTAATATATGGTGTCAGTATCAGCCAGAACAGACGTGGCATAATTGTGAGTGTTTTGCTTAGGGGTCAGTACTGCCTGACAGTTTGTGTGAAGGCCTTTGGTCCACTGACAAGAAACTACTACATCAGGGCGCTGCTACATGCTGCGTAAGTCTGTCATGGTGGCTTAATTCTATTCATTGTACTCTTGAACTTCCTTATTCTTATGCTCCTGGTTTAAAATACTCTTGTGTCACAAAGCTCGTGCTCTTTTGTCTTGGAAATTTTCATCAGGAACTGCTTATCTTGAAGTGCACATTGCGGAAATGGCATTTGTAATAAAGCCTGGATCTACAGTCCATGTACCTGTTGTGGTTCACTCATTTCTCCTCATTTACTTCCTTGTCCACACCCATTCTCATAAATTAGGTTTGTTTTGTTTTGAGGCACAGCATCACCACTCTGCCCTGAGAAGGCGTCGACTTCACATTTGACGTCGTCTCCACAACTCTTCATAGAGCTAATGTTTTTCTAGTTTAGTTGTTTTTCGGCAGTGTGCAACTGAGCATTGAACCTAAAGAGAGAACATCGTAAAACTTCCTTTGTAAAGCTCTGTCAGTTCTTTATAAATCCAGTGTAGATTCCTTCAGTTCGAAGCAAATTGTGAAATTTGAAATGATTCCTGTGGACGTTGTTTCTGCCCACAGACTCTGTGTTCCAGGCGCTTTCATTCTCTGCACTGTTCTGGGCTGTGTCTGCCTAGCCATTGCCAGCATCATCTACCTCTTGGTGAGTGCTCCTGTCCCCCCCGCCATTGCCCTCAAACCGCAGTGTCAGGCCCTTCTAACCGTGGCATGTCATGTCCAATTCAAAGCCTAAAAATATTTGTTCCATATCTTAAAAAAATTATGATGATAAAATGTTTCCTTTCACATGATGTAAGTCTTTGTGTGAAGACCATCTTTTCTCTCTAGTGTATCTACTTTAGCTATGAACAGCACCTACAAAAAATACAATGCTGAGTTACTGATGTGATCACTATAGTAATTGATGTGGGAGGCAGTCGCATATTTAAGCATAAGTCCCCATTATTCACCAGGCTGCTGTCCGTGGTGAGCAGTGGTTACCCATCCTTCCACGGGCAGAACCCCGGGAAAAACCAGGGGAAAGTATCAAGGAGCCCCCCCAGAACCCACCTCCTCGTCCGCCAGCAGAGATGCGCAGGAAGCGTGCGGAGGACATGGAGGGCGCCGCATACACCAACCCTATGCCAGTCATGCCCAATGAGTACTGAGTGCCCAATGAGTACTGAGTGCCCAATGAGTACTGAGTGCCCCTCCCCCATGTCAGATCAAGGAAGTACTGTTGCTTTGTGTCTGCTGCAAATGCTTTTTTTTCATTCCGTGTTTCATTCTACTTCTGTTACAATTTGATTCCCAAACACATCAGGAGTATCCAGCTGAGAATTTTGTGATAGAGGTGTTTTTTTGAATACTTAATAGCTAGGTACTTCATCCTGGAAGGACCTGTGTGATCAACAGTCCTGGGTCCCTGTAGGGTACCAGGGGACCCCAGAATGGCCCACCCAGTCACGAGTTTGGCTGATAATTGTAGAAAGGAACAAGGAAGGCCTGCCCAATATCAGACATGGAGTTGGGCTCAGAAGTCATCCTGTTCTTGGTTATATTAAGTTTTATATAAATGTGCAAAGAACACAATATAATAAATAAGTATTAATGACTGCAACAGTTACTATATAAAACTTTCGTATATAAATGTTTATTCTATGAAGGTTTATTTTTCTGTTTTTATATTGTGAAATAAAGAATACACTATAACTAAAGCTTGCCTTTACGGTCTGTTTCTTTGTCAAGTCTAAGTACGGGAAACGGTCTTTTCTCTTAAGAAACGCTTGGTTTGCCTTTCACAAGGTGATCGCTACAGCTCGCCGCGCGACTCTACTTCAACGCAGTTGCAACACCAGGGAAATTTCTCTTCCCCCTGCGCCTTCTCGTTGCACACAGATGTTTGTTTATAGTATGTAGAAAGTCATGTGGCTCCAATTAGTCTGCTTTTTGTTGTTTAAATCAGGTGCACGTTTTAACTAAGAATACTGTACCAGATTAAGCTCTAAAACCTTAAACCGTTTCTGTTGTACAGGTTATATCAACCATCGGGCCATAACTGAAAAACAATCATACCACCTTACTTCTATTTTTAAACTTGACCTTTGGTAGGTGTTTTGAAATTTCCCGGTTTATTTGTTACTACTAGATAACCATATTAATTTAAAACATTACTTTAAGAACACAGTAAAGTTTCCCGGATGACGTGTCGAATGTAAATAAACTTAAATCCCTATCTGCTTCCTCGAACGATTCTTGAAACGATTGAATAATGAGATGTCCGAAATACAGAATAAATTTAGTCTATGTTAAATGTCTTCACTTTTGTAACATCAACACTTTAAATATTAACTGTATTAATACATACTATTGTAAAAATCTCACCAGAAAGATAATTAAGACACAAAATTAAAATGAGTGTTGCTGTTTTAGAATAAAACCTGCAGCATCGCCGTGTGGTAGACTGCGCATACTACAGGATATAAATAAGGAGAAGCGACAACACACAAAACATTGTCTGACACTCAATGCGATCCGTATGGATGTGAGGTCACTTCCTTGCGACCTGTCGTCACTTCCTCCAAAGCACCCAATGAGATACTTTTTAGCGTACCCTACTGTGTTATGATTGTAGGTACTGCAGAACACCACCTTGTCAATATCGTCTTGAGCACACTACTACCTGCTTTCTTCTGTGACGATGTCCAGTCGTGCTCTTCGGAGGCTGCGAGGAAAACAGCGGGGTCAAGAGGCTATAGATCCATGCGATCTGCGTATTGAGGACGGGGCTGAAACTCTGGAGTTAGGGGAGCAGGAAGAGGCATTGGAAGAAGGTGTTCTACAGACGGCAAAGAATAGCAGTAGGAAATCTAAGAAAAACAAAGCACAGAAAAATCTAATCAACATATACGAACTGGTAAAGTAATTATCTAACTTGAGAAAGAGTTGTCATATTGACTATATTTGGTCTGCGTACAGGGCCTTTGATCGCTACTTGGTTGTCACGTGACACTAACTAAACGGCAAGATACTGAACTTAAGCTCAGTCGCTTGGTTGTCTTGATATATGGTAACATGTTGTAATCTAACTGCGCCTAATTTTCAGATATGCGACGCAGAGAACGACACGGAGAAATGTCTGACAGATGAAGAAACTGGTGCCAGGATAGAGGAAAAGAGTGACAGTAGGCACAACGAGAAGGAATGCCCACTAGGGGACACGAGCACGGAAAGGGTAAGGAGACCGTCATAGTGCTGCTTACAGCAAACGAAACACGTTGTTTTTTGTTTTATTCCATTTGTTTTATTTCTCGTTTCTAAACAATTTCCGATGAATTTCATTTAGTTTTAAGTTTGGTTTAACTGTTTACTTAATTTTTGTATTATCATGGGGTTATTATTTCTATCCTGTGACGTCTTCTTACAGTTTATTCGCTTTGATCGACAGGCAAACACTACTGAAAAGGCATGCAAGAAGAAGAAGAAAAAGAAGAAGAAAAAAGCAGCCACAGTAGAAGACACACAGGTTAATCCATATTTCCCAGGGCTCATTCCAAATATAGACTATCCTCAGGCTGCTGTCTGGCCACTGACGTATGACTCGGCTCTCGAATGAAAGCAGCTTTCAGTATTTGGTGGAAGCAGGCTGTTATTGCATTTAATGATGTGTGACTTGTCAATAATGGGCGATATAGGTATGAAGAACTTGCGAATTTGAGTTTGCCTCGATTTTGCTGGCTTTAGCTTAACTGTTAAATAATTATGCATATATTACTGGATAATGATAACAGAGTTTGTAAAGCAGTCTGTGCAGTAATCACTTAATATTCTGTTAAAACGTCGATAGCAAGAGATTCTTTGCTTTGACACTATATAAAGATTTAAATTACATGGTGCTGAATTAAGGTATGACTTTCAACAAGGGTCTGTATCTTGTTAAAAGGTGCATAACTTGGACCACTGTTTTTAACAGTCTTCAGTAAGAATTCACTGTCACCTGTTCACAGCAAGAAGAGGTACCCAGGGATGATCTGGATGCCTTGCTGGAGACTATTGATAGCACCAATGGTCTCTCCCATCATACTGGGACGTGTGGAAACTCAGACAGCCGGCCTGTGTTATATGTGGAGCACAGGTCTGTGAGTTTGAGTAGCTTTGCATTTGTTCTCAGATGAAATAAAATAAGGGGCTTGGGGTCAGCCATTGATCCAAAGCCATGGGAATTTCTCAGATTTACATTCACATGGTTAAAACTGGAGAAAGTATAACAGTAATGCGTTGAATGATATGCTGCCTTTTTGTGTTTAATGGTGGGGCCTATTTAGCTGACCTAAAGTGAGTGGCTCTGCAGATTAGGAATCTGTGCTAATGATCAGAAGGTTGTTGGGTCAAAACCCTTGCTTGGCAGAGTGATTTCAGTGTTGGCCTCTTCAGCAAGGCCCTTAACCCAAAATGCTGATGCTGAGTGACCCTGCTCTCTAATCTTGACTTGAATGTTGCCTTGAACAGAAGCATTTGCAAAATTAATGTAACACTCTGGCATGTCTGGACTCATGAAACTGCTTATTTTGTTGACAGTGTACCTGAAGTGTCCCTTCATTGACATTGTAGCTTATATATTTTACGTCTGTGGTGTAAGCTGCTCTATTGAAATGCCCCTTCACATTCCCTCCCCTCTTCAAAACCAGGAATCTGAATCCAGAAACGGAATTGAAAAGATATTTTGGTGCTCGTGCAGTACTGGGGGACCAAAGGTAGGATCAACCACTGGTTTATACTGAGTATGATTATAGTCAGTCCCTGTCTACAGTAGTACCTGAGATTGACCAGCTAAGATGTCAGGACCCTCTGCATTCTACTTCCCCTCTTTAGGCCGAGGGCAAGACAGAGACAGTTCCACCGCAGCACGTGGATAACAGTCGCCAAAGACACTTGGCCTCGCTTCAGCAGACCAGGTGAGCAGCACAGAACCTCTGGCCGATCCGGCTCTGTTGCAAGGTCTCTTAGATGCCTCCTGCTGACATTCTCCAAAAATCTACAAGTATTGAATATTGTGGTTGCTTTTTAACACCCGAATGTTCGATCTGAATGTTTCCTCAACCCCTTATCCTAGTCAGGATTATGGGGGATCTGAAGTCTATCCCGGGAAGCTCAGGGAAAAATGCTGGAATGCACCTTGGATGGGATGCCAGTCCATCACAGGGCACAGGGCAGGGGACACCTTGGATGGGATGCCAGTCCATCACAGGGCACAGGGCAGGGGACACCCTGAATGGGATGCCAGTCCATCACAGGGCACAGGGCAGGGGACACCTTGGACGGGATGCCAGTCCATCACAGGGCACAGGGCAGGGGCCACCCTGGATGGGATGCCAGTCCATCACAGGACACATACATGCACATATTCTCCAAGTGGCCTGTTGAGAGTTCTGTGCTTGCCAGTCCTGTTTCTCTGCATACGTCTTAAAGGGCAGATCTAAAGGCCCAGCTCAGTGGTAGCTTTGATCCGAAATCCCTGACATCTACAAATTGTTGTGAAGCGCGCAGCATCAAAGGCGCTATTCAGGCTGGCTGCAGAAGCCCCTGCTGGGGGATCCTTTGGGATGTTCCTCTGGGGCCAAGGTGACCTTGAGGAAGTGCATGGTTTTGTAAGTGAGAAGTGAAGAAGCATGTGACTTGTTAGGCATCAGTTGATTTCTTTGAGGTTCGTAGCAGGTCATATAGATGTTTCATCTTTTTTTTTTTTATTTATTCATGCTGCGTTTAACCTTTACACAGCCAAGGCTTTGTGTACTTTGGTGTACTTGTGTGGCTGCGTCTTATTTTGGCTTTGGTGTACTTAGTGTGGCTGTTGTCCTTAGGGATCTCCATGACTCTTCTGGAGTCAAGGGATGGCTTGCAGCACTTTGCCTTTGTGCACAACCGAGACTACCAGCAAGTCCAATTCAAGTTCTTGGATGCGGTCGAGTCCATGGACCCTAACAACATTGTGGTGGGTGTGGCTAATACTGGGAGGGTGTGGCTAATACTGGGAGGGTGTGGCTAATACGTGGGAGGGTGTGGCTTGCATGGGGTGGGTCAACTGTGGAGGTGGCTGGTTCTTGGGGGGTGTTGGGGGAGGGGTTATGGTTTGGCCACAGTCTTAGTGCTCTGTGTGTGTTGCTCCTTCTCAGGCTCTCCTGCAGGTTAACCCCTACCACGTGGACTCCCTGCTGCAGCTCTCTGATGTTTGCCGCATTCAGGAGGACCAGGAGATGGCCAGGGACCTAGTCGGTGAGTGGACCCTTGGCTGCCTTAGCTGCCTTAGCTGCATACTTCTGGCTGTGAGACATTAGAAGCTAAACATGGGCACATATCCAGAACCAAATCCCAGACTAGATGTTAACCTTAGTTGGTGTTACTCACTACAGAGCCTCTCATAAGAGCAAATTCAGTCGTTGTAAGGGCTGCAAAGACCGACCTATTTCCCACAGCTCTCTAATGCCTAATTAAAGCTTTCACCTTGCATGGAAGCATTGAACTGCGTAACACCTAACATACGGGAAATGATTCACATAACAAAGCAGGGGAGGAGAGACCATTATTCCAGTTGTTAATCACTGGATTTAATTAATGAAATGTGGGAATCCCAAGTTCTTCCAAATCTGGAGCTGGCTCACTTAAGCCTTGCAGTCTTTCTGCAGTAAACCTAAAATGTTTTGTGCTAAATGGGTCTTCCTGTGTGGTTGCAGTTACTAAATGGAATGAAGTCAAACTGCACACCAGGCCATCATGTCCACTGCAGCTTGTTATGTAGCTGAAAGAGCCAAGCTTGAGGGCAGAGTGTCGGTAAAATAATACTGTAATTCACAGTAGCTTGAATTTACTTCACAACTCTGGGCTTCACAACTTTCTTGGGTGAATTCCCCAAACACCTCATTAATACAATTAAGCCTGGGCATTTAATGTCTGACCCCAACGTCACTGTGCATTCAGCATCTGCCGAAATCCCTTTGATTTGGCAAATTATGCGCAGACAGATTTTCTCTGGATACTGGTATCTTGCTCTGTGACTAAATGGATTAGTACAAACCAATGCATGAAAAAAGATAATGAGGTTTACAGATAGTAAAGTTAATCACCGTTCAAGCATCTGGAAAAGGTAACTATTGTGATGAATTGTTTTCGTTCTTAAAATGTTGGTTTGAGAGGTAGTGTCACATTTTGCCCTTAAATGTAGTGATGAGCACCTCTATGGTGAAGGGCTTTTAACACAAATACAGCTCCCTAATGTACTGTAATACCGTTCTGGTTTTGGAAAAGTTGCAATAAGAAGTTATTTATTTTTACTGTATATGAACTGTATTTTTATTGTTTATTACAGTTTATTTGCAAAGCATTTAGCCTACCTGACATTTTGGCATCTTCAAAATAAAATATTTCAATAGGTAACTTGAAAAAATATATGTTATATTCAAACCTGAGTCTTGAAACTCAGTGTATCCATTTGCTGGAGCAAATTTGCTGTTTTTTTCTGTGAATGGGTTCATGTTTAAATCTAATGAACAAATTACAAAGAGTCCAATGCTGAAAAGGTCAGTTTGTGGCGGAGTTTATTTTCCAGTTAGACAAGCCTGGTCTTGTGATACTTTTTATCCAGTTATTTATGGCACTTAAGCTGAGACACATTGAAGAGCACGATGGAGGTCTTCCAAGCTCTCCGACCACATTGCACTGCTGGTTCTTCTGCTCATCTGCAAAGTTGGCAGCGGAACAGTTCCGTTGTCACCCACTGAATGCCTGTCAAAGGGACTAAATGATTTTCAGAAGCACTGGATACTGCTTTGCAGTGTAATGTTGGCTAGTGGCTTCAAAAGTTGGTGTCATTAAAATATTTCGGGCCTAAAAACCAAGAAGGGCACTCCAGCTGTACAGTTAAGGTCTGCTGGCCAGTCAGAGATGTGACGTTTGTGATCGCTATATTTCAGAGCGGGCACTCTACAGCTTTGAGTGTGCCTTTCACCCTGTCTTCAGCCTGACGTCAGGAACCAGCAGGTTGGACTACCTGAGGCCTGAGAACAGGTGAGCACTGCCTCGGATACGTGGTAATTCATTGGTGTTGCACTTGACCTGGGTGTCTTCACGGTACCTCTTGGGTGCCTGCTGTTGTGTCTATTTGTATTGCACTCTTAAGATCTTGTGGTGTTTGTTGGATGGTCTTCGAATGTGTCTTGGACGTCCTGTTTCTGATAGACTCATGCAACCCGAATGGCACACGCCTAAACCCAAAATGACCTGCTGTGAGCCTTGTTTCACAAATTTCCAGGAAGGCCTGCTGGATCCCCAGTGTAGGGCTGCCTGCTGGATCCCCAGTGTAGGGCTGCCTGCTGGATCCCCAGTGTAGGGAGGCCTGCTGGATCCCCAGTGTAGGGAGGCCTGCTGGATCCCCAGTGTAGGGAGGCCTGCTGGATCCCCAGNGCCTGCTGGATCCCCAGTGTAGGGAGGCCTGCTGGATCCCCAGTGTAGGGAGGCCTGCTGGATCCCCAGTGTAGGGAGGCCTGCTGGATCCCCAGTGTAGGGAGGCCTGCTGCTCAGTGGGTGTCTGCGGCCATGTATGGGACGATGTCGTCATCTTTATGCCTTGTGGATTCTATAGGGCTTTTTATCTGGCCTTGTACAAACACATGATGTTTCTGGAGAAGAGAGGATGCCCCAGGACTGCGCTGGAATACTGCAAGCTGATTCTGAGGTATGGGGTGTGGGGGGGGGGCGACGAGTCATGGGACACGGGGCCAGATGAGGGGCCACCTTCTTCTGCTTTGACAGTGATGCACATTTCAAACATCAGTGTTCAATGATCTACACTGTCTTTGTCTGCACCCCTTCCCACCCAGCCTGGACTCGGAGAACGACCCGCTCTGCATGCTGCTGCTGGTGGACTTCCTGTCCCTGCGCTCTCGGGAGCACGCCTTCCTCATCCGGCTGTTCGAGGAATGGGAGGTGAGAGGCCGATGGGGGAGGGCAGCGAGCAGGGGCGCCGCTAGACACTTCGGGCCCCATAAAAGCATATTGGGCCCCCAATCCAATCATGCTAGTCCAGTTATATTCAAATAACACTGGCCCTTAGAATAGGTTTGGAGTTGATTTGGATCCTGCCAGTGTCATAACCAAATAGGAATGGCATGCAAGGCTATTGTTGTGATGCCCTACAACAGTGCATTATGGGTATTTTTGTGACGTTCATCCAGGGCCACCGCAACCTGTCCCAGCTGCCCAACTTCACTTTCTCAGTGGCCCTGGCCTACTACCAGCAGAGCCTGCAGGATGACCTGGCTTTGGAGGAGGCCACTGGCATAAAGCAGAAGGCTGACCAGCTGCTGCAGGACGCCCTCATTATGTTCCCTGGGGGTGAGTTCACATGTCGTGCCTGCCACCACCGGGGGGCGCCCTCTGGCTTTCAGTGTTGATCAGCTGACAGCGCTTACGCTGCCTTCTGTCTCTGGTAGACTTGTCTTGTTTTCCCAGTCTCTACACCACTGTTCTGGTCTCTTTCTCGGTCTGTTTAGGAGGCTGGTAGGGTGGTATTATCATACCTTAAATCTCTCTTGCAGTGAACCAGAGCAAAGCGGTACGGTAATGTGACTGTAACTCACCCGTGTCAGTTTAATATCCCATAATCTCATGATACGCTGATTCATTAGGCCTTTATGTGTGGCTGAGTGTTCGAACCTGAAAGCAAACGAGATACCTATGGTTGTGGGGTTGTAGTCCAGTCCTGGTCTTTGGGGAGCCCTTGGCTCGCCGTTCAGTGTTCCAGCGGACCTGTTGTTGACCTGTCAGTTTGAGTCGGCATTTCTGAATATTGTGATTCTGTTTATATACATAAAAGAGAGGAGGGTTGACTTGGGGTGAATTGCATTTGTCTCTCACATTGATTAATTCAGCGATTTCCCTGCTCTTTATGGGCTCAGTTCAGGCCTCTGCTCAGATTACGGAGCATCAGACTGCTGACCCACAGTTTCTGATTAGCTTAACCTGTCTGTTGTTCAATCTGCTTGGAATTGTCAAGTCAAGTCAGTATTTACTTTTATAGCACATTTTAAAAACGGCTCCAGCAGACCAAAGTGCTGTACAGTTTGACAAAAGCAAAAACGTATCAAATGGAAAAAAGAAACACATAATACAAAACCAAATCTGATACAGAAATGGATTAAAACACAAAAAAATCAAATATAATAAGTAAATGCACAAGTTGATAATATAGTATAAATTTAACAAAAAAAATAAAACAGATAAGATGTATTATGATCCAGGGTAGGATAATGCATAAAATGTCTTTTAAGCTTAGTTTGAAATTATCTATAGAGGAAGCATACCTGACACACGGGAAGACTTTCAAGGTCTGGTACTGAGCCGGGAAAAGGCATGACCCCCTTTGTTTATAAATGTGTTCGCGGAGCAAATAGAAGTAACTTGTAAGCTGACCTCAAGGATCTAGGTGAAGAATAAGGTACAAACAGGTCAGAAAAGTAATGCTGTGATCGATCCGTTTTAAGCTTGAGAAACAAATAATAAAATCTTAAAATGAAAGCTGTGACGGACCCAATGAAGGGAGCTCAGGATCTGCTGTCTGTGTTTTCTTACATCCCCATTAAAAGTCTAACTGCTGAATTTTTAACCACTTGTGCTTGTGGCAGAGCTGCTACATTATAAATAAAAGCATGAATATACTCTGGGTGTCTGTGCTGTTCCTCAGTGCTTTGTTTTGACACCCCCCAAGGGATAGGACGTGTCATGATTATCCTGTCCCCGCTCTGATCTCATCTGACCCCCAGACTTACTCCACGGTTCTCTTTGCCATTCCTTGGCTGTTAGGTTCCCTCAGGGACACTGGCAGTGCAGATGCTCCAGGTCTTTTTATGGCACTGCATCTTGCCCCCCAGCCAGTGAGCTGACTGTACGTGCTTCTCCCCCTCCACAGTGCTGATGCCCCTCCTCGACCTCTGCTCCGTTCAGCCCGACGCCGCTGTGTCTTCCCACGCCTTCTTTGGACCTAAAAGCCAATATAGGTAGAGTAAGATGGGAGGGGGGACTCCCTCGAAGCTTCAGCTCTAACCCTCCAAGTTAACCTGGGCCAGATATTTTTTAATTCCAGCCAGGAAGTGAGGTTTCCTAAACATTATGCTACCATCTTATGCAATGCATGTAACCTAAATAAACTCAGTGAAAAAATCCCATTTACTAATGGTATGCAGAATTGTGCAGCGTTATTCCACTGAGCAGTCCCCAATTGTCCAATAACAACCCCCCGCCATCATCATCCCTTGGACAGGCAGCTGCCTGGCCTCAGTGAGCTGGTGTCCCTGTATGTGGGTCGCTGCCACAGCCTATGGAAGGAAGCCAGTGTCCTGGTCTGGCTGGAGGGCAATGTGCAGGATGTCCTGCAGCGAGTGGACAAGAAAGATCCCCTGGTGGAGGACTGCGAAAACAAGTAGGCCCCCCCGCCCGTACTGCCCATTTCCCGCCTCCGCCCTTCGTATACCAGCGCCCTGTGGATGAAAGAGGCCGTGTTTAAGATGATTATCTTGACATTATTAAGATCATCTGATTCTCAGAACTGCAGGGGTGGTGCGTCTGTTTATAGTGGCTCCTCTGTGTCTCTGGTTACATTTTGGCTGGTAGAGAGGACAGCCCCTCTCAGCATCCCGGTTCATCTTCTCCCCATGTAGACTGTATCACCCCTGTTCGTACAGGAGACCCATTCTTCCCTACAGAGAAGATGGATAGATAGATGGATGGAAGAATTTCTTTCTTTCTTTTATTCATCCATCCATCCATCCATCCATGGAGGGAAAGTTGGGGGAACAGTCTTTGTATAGATGTGGCTCTTTTGCACTTTCCCACCACAGGAACCTTTTTCAGGAACCAGGATCTTCTGTCACATTCCAGCCGCAGGTGGAATATGAATCATAAACGTCTTGCAGGCTGACTGTTTTTTCCTGCGATCGATCCCCCCAATAGCTAAGATAACCAACAGTACGACTTGTTCATCCTCCATTGTTTTGGTGTGGGGGTACAATTTGTATGAAATTATATGTGAAGGTCAACCTACGAGCTTTTTGCTTTTCCCGTGCATATTTAGCATAAAAGTCACAATTCCTGTTGTGCGGAGGGAAAGTGACACACAAGCGGTCAGGAAAAGTTCCAGTAAAGACAGTGATGATGGCTAAAATGAAGCTTTATGAACCATTTGCTGTATTTTCTAACCCCACTAGATGGTGCTCTCTGTTCAAAAAAAGGATTAAGGCAAAGTAAACCAACAGCACCGTCTAATGAGGTCAGAAAATACAGCAAATGGTTCACAAAGTGTCACTTTGGCCAGCACTAGAAGATGGCCCAGGAACAGGAAACCAAGGTCTAGGTTCCTGAACTCTGGTGAGAAAGCGCCTAGTGTTGGACCAAAACAAATCAGTTTTATCTTGCGCAAAATGTTCTGTTTTTCAGAAATAGATTAGAGCACTTGTCCTTAAAATGTCGTCTTTAGTTGATTTTAGATGAGGACTCTCCTCGTTGCATTAGGTCCATCCAGCACATTGTTTGAGGTCCCGAATGTCTTGCTTCTCCAGAGGTGCTTTTCCTCACTCAGTCCCTCTCTTTGTTCCCCGGGCAACCACAGGAGGAAGACAAGGTACCAGAGTACTCCGAGGAGCATACATCGCCACGTCATCCTGTCAGAGATCAAGGGTGCCTTGGCCACGCTGCCTCTGGTGAGATGCAGGGGCGTTGAGGTTTAATGGAGGAGCGTGAGGTCGGGTAGTGCTTCAGGGCACTGGGCTGAGCCGTGGGGTTCAGACGTCTTCGCCATGTGACAGCGGTCTCTATTTGCAGGCACGGTCTCCGCCTTTTCCAACAAGCTGCTGCCATAATGTTCTCATTCACCACAGCAGGCAGAAATAAAAAGCCTTCTGTTAATGTGCTGAAATGAAGAGAGGGGTCACCTTCAGCACCGCTGCCAAAACTCAGCGCTGATTATTTGCTTTTTATTCTGGTTCTTTGTATTGTTCAGGCTGAGTATCTTTATGATGCATATGGCAGTATTCAGTTTGAAGTGGGGATCTGGGTTCTTTGTGATTATTATACATGCGGTAAATATAACTAGCCAAACTGTATTCAAAGGGTCTTGGTCCTTTCACAGTCTCTGATTTGGGCTTCTCTTTTTGGCATTTTCCCCCTTCTAGGAGGTGACCACTCAGCCGCTGATGGGTTTCGACCCCCTGCCCCCCCTGGATTCTGTGGTATCGTACACCAGGCCTGAGAGGTGATGTGTGAGATGTAGTTACTGAATCATTGGATGAGAATTACATGACATGCTAAATATATATATTTTTGTAAATCTCTTCCCTCTGTCTTTAGGCCAAACGTGAGGACTTCTGAGAATTCTTTGTCACTTTTCTTCCGTTCTCTGTTGCCAAATTTCAACCTGCAGGTATGTGGTTTTGCTCACCGGCTTTTGGTCTCGTGTTTATATTCTCACCTCCATGTTTATCACCACTTGCTAACCCTACTGACTTTCGATGGTCCAGCTTGCATCGTTAGTTCGTCGTCGCTCAGTTCCCAGGGTTGTAGACTTGCCGTTGTGTGACACCCATTATGGGATGTGCTGTCCCACTTTGATTTTCCTGTGGGCTTTTCCCCCCCTCGCAGTCGGCAAAGGGAAGGCCCCTCTGGCACTGAGTGGACTGGGAAATCCTTCTCCCCGGCCCAGTGCAGGTGCTGGTGTGTGAGGTGCACTCATGGGGACCTTCCTGATGAGCCCGTCCTCTCAGGAGTCACAAGGGACACATTCCCTGTGGGGCGTCTTTACTTACTTTGCCAAAAGACCATGATGCTGACTTGACCTGTCCTAGCCAGTGGGGTAACACTTGCTCTAAGGAAAGTCTTTGCACAGGAAAGAATGTTAATCCGCCCCCCCCCAATACTGTATTTAGCAGTTGTATAGTTATTATGAGATGAGAGGAGCTTTACTCAATGCAACTCCTATATCTAAAGTCAACTGCTGGGGCAGGACATAGTGGCCAGTAACAGGTGTGGTCACCGAGGATGAAACGGCATCCAGTTCGAGGTCTTTTTTGTAAATCCCAGTTGTTGGCACATCCTGTTCTTTCCTCAGCATGCTCACAGACGCAGCTGGAGAGGGCTGGCTTCTGGGTACAGAGGTCTAGCCTGTGCCAATGTTTTGTAACAGCTGTAGATTATGCAGCATAACCATGAATGTTTGTGTAAATGTTTATTTTGTTCTGCACACGCTATATATAAAATAAGATGTTTACTACAGAAGTTGGCTAAATTCAAAGGGCTGTGGGCTCCCCTTTGAATGCTCAGGATATTGCCAGTGAGCCCTGGCCTTGGCCTTGTCCTCCTTATACGCTGTGCTCCTCAGACCTCGTACCTTACAGACTATACCGATTCCCATGCCGTTTCGGCCATTTCGCTTGTTTTTTTAAGGCGGAAGAGCAAATGATGCTTCTGCAAACCTCTCTACCCAGTCTTACCCGGCTGCTGAAATATGGAACTGGTTTTATTGATGGAAAGTAGTGTTGGGCATTTTTTTTATTATTGTTATGATATGAATTTTCCTTATACCGCGATACCAGTTTAAATAGCCTACACAACGTTTGTAAAGTAGCGCAGCTGGAAACTGTTTTGGGGGGGACCTTTTTCACTGCTGCACCGCTAAAAATGTACCACGGAAGATATAGCTGACGCTGCAGTTGAAAATAATGAGACACTGGGGTTGTCAAAAATCTATTCTCAGATACTAATCGATATTAAGAATTAGTATCTGATTAGATATTCATTTTCACCATTATTGATACCAACAGTGCGGTTTTCGCCTCATTCGCCACACAGCACCACTACAGCGCGTACACGCACGCACACGCACACACGTGGCCCCTCCCCTCCTCCCAATACCCGCTGAACACATTCGCACTGGTTAACACACACGTACCGAGTTGGCCGATCATGGCATATGCTGCAGTTGAAGGCACTTCGCAAGCTGCTTTAATAAAAAAAAAACGGCAAAAGTGCCGTTTGGAAGTATTTTGCAGCCGAGCATGGAAAGCCTAAGGATATTAAGTCAAGTAGCACGTCAAATTTGCCGAAGCATCTTAAAGACCGACATCCCGGTCTGTATGAGATATTTCGCGAGGTCAATAAAGCTCGCGTTCCAAAAACACTGGACTATTAAACACATTAAAAATGTTAACTTGGCTGGTGCACACCTTTATATTAGCCGTTTATCTATAAGCAGTTAGCCAACAAACACGTTAGCCGTATGTTATCATTAAGGTAGTGGATAGGCGCAACGGCTTATAATAAAATAATATAGTTAATGTGGGAACAATACAAAAACGTGTCCTGTAAAATGTGGTAAATGCCCAGTCATACTTTTGAAAGAAATACCGTTGTATACCGTGAAACCAATATAACTTTGAAAAATACCGTGATATAAATTTTTGGTCATACCGCCCAGCTCTAATGGAGAGTTACATACAAAAAGCAGGCGGCATGTAAAGTGAAATCACTTTTGATGTTTAGGAACTTTTGAAAATAGTTTATTCAGACGTACTTCCTTTGGAGTTGGCTTCCATACTTTTCAGTTAAACATTTTAAAGACACGCTTTGACTCTCCATGGATTGCCCTGGAGCCTCTGCTGAAATGTAATTTAATTTATTGTTTGTGATGAAAGAATGGAAAAGATTCTGATAAAAAAAAAACTTTGTATTTCAAGGGTAGCTAGCTGGGCACATTCACATCAATTTCATGCTTTTTTTTTCCCAGATCACTTACAGTAGAGGTAATGATTACCATTTTATGTGCGCTCCCTGGGATTCGAACCCACAACCTTTGCATTGTTAGCACACTGCTTTGCTTGCTCAGCTACAGGAGCTTGATTAGATGTAATGCTTTGATGTCATTCACATATAACTAAACTGAAAGCAGGTTACTTAACCTCAGACTTCGTAGTAGGGCGTGATGCTGAGTGGTGCTGTGGGTGGGGCCAGGTGGCAGACACGCTGGCTAGGGCGGCTTACGTCCCTCATGAGTACTTTCCTGTAGAGAGGCGCAGGACCTGGGGATGAACAGGAGGTGGCCCGGGCAGGCAGAGAGCTCAACCAGGAAGTCAACCGGCTGATGGTGGCCATGAGGGACATGCTAGCCAACATCCAGGTCCTGGATCCCCCACGGGAAGATGAGGCAGAGCCAGAGCGGGATGAAGAGGAGTGGGACTGAGCTGCCGGGGGGGCGGGGGCCGGATGGTGCTCCGGGAAGGACTGCAGGCAACACAAGTTTAGCTGCACCTCTGCCATCAACTTTGTTCTTGAATTTTTAGGGTAAATGGATTCACATCTTATACAGTCATACTACCTGTTCCACAATCTGCTACAACTGTTGTAGGGCTGTATGAATGAGAGAAGTCTTGTTCTATTGTTAGACAACAGATGATGATTGATTATGATGATGATAATGAAACCATTGATCTTTAAGTATCTATAAATTAACATTGTTAATAAAACTTGTGTTGTTTTCAAGTGCCTTCAAAGGGAGCAGTGAAAAATGAAGCCCACAATCTGATACTGTACTGAAAATACCTACCCCCCATTAAAATTTTGATCGTTATATTAACGGTAGTAATGCTTTGAGCTCATTTTGTGCATAAATAATGGACCTTTATGCCCATTTATTCTGCTGCTGGTTAATTTAAGTTTGCTGATGTTCTGTAGAAAGATATGCGACACCATGCAGAATGAATGGTGCCCAAAGACTCCCCGTCGTTATTATATTGTCGTCTCATAAAAATGGTCACAGTGGACATTATGACAGCAAAATTAATCTTACGCTGAACGTGTGAATGGTTGTGCAAAATGAATTACTGCACTTTTTGTGAGCGTGTGCCTCGCGAGGAATTACTGTATGATAATATCGCCACTAAAGTGTTATTTTATCTGACTCTTGGACAGTAATAAATTCAGAAACACACACACACCCGAACTCAGCTTCTCTACCTTTGATGGGTTTTTTTAATCCTCATTCTCCCATCAGTCTCAGTCCTATAACAGATGTGGTTTCAGTTTTAAGGAGTGTAATGCATACAAAAATGGCTGACTGAAAAAATATGTATGTGCACAGCAAAGGTCTGTCATACCATCCTGGGTGTACCACACCCTTGTGCCCTGTGCTGTCTCCTTCATGCCTGACCAGGATAAGTGACTCTGTGCATTCTGTAGTGCCCTGTGCTGTCTCCTTCATGCCTGACCAGGATAAGTGACTCTGTGCATTCTGTAGTGCCCTTTGCAACTTCAAATCCTCCCTCGTTCATAAGTTCTTCATTACGACTTCTATCATATTTCATTACCCAGCCTTAAACAATTTTCTAGAGCAACTCTGAAGAAGTCTGCGTAAACAGTGTGGCGTGTTTGAGAGGAGACGCTTTATACGTGTACGGTATTACGGCATGTTCACGTGCCACTGATGATTGTCGATCCTTATTGATGATGTCACGTGAGAATGGATATCAGCGAACCTGTTGTGATTATTTCGTTTAAACACGTCTTTGTGTTCGTATGGAGATAACTGCTTGTTTATCTGGATATGAGCGAAAAGAGAACACCTGTAACGGTATCATTTATTGCCGGGTTATTTATTTAACTTCCACTGAGTAGCGGAAGGACAGGATCCCGAGACATTAAGCATCATTCCCCGTAACGGGGAGCCGCTGTCATTTTGGGGGAGACTCCCGGACACGTGGGAAGTTGCTTGATGTTACTTAATTTTGATCGTTTCCAAAACCGAAGTGGGTGCCCGGGTGGCCTTATCTTCACAGCACACACGTTTCAGCGCAGGTACCTGAATTGACTTCTTCCTTTTCTCCTTATGCTGTCTGCTGAGTCTTGAGACGGGATTTTACAGGGGTTCTTGCTAAAGTTCTTACATAACGAAAGGCATAAAGTCTGCTTATAAATAATATGTACATTAACTGTTTTATTAATCAGATTTAAACCTTTCCCTTGGGCGAAAGGGACATTAATGAACATTGTTAAAGACGTATAGTGTTCAGTGTCTTTAAGTATCATGTATGCCTAAGCTGCCAGTTCATAAGGCCGGTTGAGGCGCGGTTCTTGTCGCCCTGCCCACGGCCGGTGTTATGCCGAAAAAGGCATCCCTGCCGTAGAATGCATGCCGGTGTTCTGACGAGTTGAGCTTTTAGGGGGTTTTTGGGGGTTAGGGTTTTAGGGGCTTTTTGAGGGTTAGGGTTTTAGGAGTGTTTTGGGGGTTATGGTTAGGGTTTTACGGGTTTTTTGGGGGTGAGGGTAAAGGTTAGGGTTAGGGCTATCGATTAGCACTACGGTAGCCTAACTCGACAAAGTAGCTCAACTCGTTTCAGATCAGCGACCAATCGATCATTTAGAGACAGACATGCATTCTGCGGCAGGGATGCCTTTTTCGGCATAACAACTGTTTGCTGAGGAAGCCAACGGGATTTAGGCCTATGTGCTCTTTACATTACTATCCTCCGAGCTTGTCATCTGAAAGAAGTAACTGAAATTAATCATCACCGTGATTGTCATTACAAGCTCATGTTCACAAATTAATTGCCTAGAAATAACTTGCTTGCTTATCCTTCATAAGCGTTTTTTCAACAACAACAACAACAACAACAACAACAACAATAATAATATAGGCCTGGGTACTTCAATCTTGGGTTGATACTAATGTTTCCCCGTGGATTTCAGATGAAAATGGTTTAAAATCTGTACAGACATTACAAAAAGCATTTTTATTTAAACGGTTGATGCGTATTGATTTATTTGTGGCCGTTGTGTGTTCGGTACAACTTAAACATGAATTGCATTTTTAAATAAAATGTTCAGGAACGTCATACACAAAGTGTGTAAGAACACCCACGTTATTTAACATGCCATGTTGCCATGACATCTGAAATGCATGCAGGACATGCGAGAACTGACTAGCTAATGGTTGGCTTTCTTAAATATAGGAGGAGTTAAAGATGAGTTTGTGGTCCGTAAACAGCAACCGTCCCTTCAGTTTGCTGGATGTTTTCTTAGGATATGTTTTCTACAGTTATAATTTCAGACTGCATTAGATGACGTTCGAATTAAACTCAAATCAGCATAAAGCCGTCAGAAAGCAATTCTGAATACGCTTATATTTGAATATACGAACGAACGTACAGGGTAAAGAACAGCATCACAGGAAAGCACTTCCCCGAAGAAATGCGTGTCGAGTCTCCTGAGATTATTAACGCATAATACCGGGTACTCGCTCGCGCCATCTGACCTGAGTCCATAGCAGAAACAAGCGCCCAGTGCATCGTTCGCTGAACAAGTTTGTTGCGTCTTAGAGTCGGACATTCATCGCAAATCTAAGGTAAGCGAGATTTATCAAATAGATCACCAACATTAGATTGTGTCATATGTATATATAGCTATTATATATAAAATATACTATAACAACCAACTTCAATATTAGTGCAGTCGAAAGCATTGTGATCTCCAGTTTTGAGTTTTCTTCTTCATAAAAGGTATGATTTTCTAAGCAAAAGTGGATTGTTAAGTATTTTGTTGTTGTTTTACAGCGTAACGTAGAAGTAGCTATAATTTACCCAGTGTCATGAACAACTGGGGGAAAATCGCGCTGATGAATCCGAGAGAACAGGACACGAACACCACATCGCAACTCACGTTCCTTATGAAACACCTGGAGCACAGCGCTGTTCCCGTGTACAGCTTGGAAAATGTCACCTACAACTTCTCCATAGGTGACCAGAACTCCACTACGTGCGCCCAGATCATGATTCCTCACGAATTGTTTTTCGCCCTGGGTCTGATAAGCTTGATAGAAAATATTTTCGTAATACTAGCCATCATCAAGAACAGAAATTTGCATTCCCCTATGTACTACTTTATTTGCTGCCTTGCTGTGTCCGACATGCTGGTCAGCGTTAGCAATGTAGTAGAAACAATGTTTATGCTGGTCACTGAGTACGGACTCTTGATTGTCACACCAAGCATGATGGAACACTTGGATAACGTCATTGACATCATGATCTGCAGTTCAGTGGTGTCCTCCTTGTCCTTTCTGAGCACTATAGCAGCTGACCGCTACATCACAATTTTTTACGCGCTGCGCTACCACAGCATCATGACCAGTCAGCGCGCTGTAGCCGTCATTGTCATCATCTGGACGGCGAGCACCGTGTCCAGCATCCTGTTCATTTCATACCACAACGACAACGCCGTCATTGTGTGCCTTGTCACTTTCTTCTGCATTACGCTGATCTTCAATGCCGCCCTGTACCTGCATATGTTCATCACGGCGCACTTGCACTCCCGCCGTATAATCGCCTTCCACAAGAGTCGCCGCCAGGCCACCAGTATGAAAGGCGCCATCACCCTGACCATCCTTCTGGGCGTGTTTATTATATGCTGGGGTCCGTTCTTCCTGCACCTCATTCTCATTCTTACGTGCCGAAGCTGTACCTGTTTTTTCAGCTACTTCAACCTCTATCTGATCCTCATCATTTGCAATTCACTCATAGATCCACTCATTTACGCGTACCGGAGCCAGGAGCTGCGCAAAACCCTGAAGGAACTGGTGATATGTTCTTGGTGTTTCACTATTTGAGGCGAAACAAACCGAAGTAAGACAGAAATGTGCCTCAATATCGTGCCCACAAAATGACCCGATTTGCACGGAAATTGGCTATACGCCAGGGAGGAAAAGACAGAAACAAACCACGCCATTCTTAAAGCGAATGTCAGTTTTGAATAATGTTCTTTTTTGCCACAAACGTACGTGGTAATATCGTAGCCGAAAACTTTAAACGCTATTTTTTTTCGTGGAGGATATTTCGATTATTTATGAATTCATATAGTTTGTAGAGTTTATGGTATTACAGGACATATGAAGTTTAAGAAAGGCGCTTAAAGATTCCTAGATATTTCCTTTTCCTCGTTAAAAGATATCGCCCGAATAGTGTTAGCATATTGAAAGACTAAATTGTTTTAGATAATCTGAACGGAAATACTGGCTCTAAATGTGAACTGGAGGTGGTTTTATAAAAACCGAAAACCTTTTAATTTCCTTTTTTTCCTGAATGTTGGGTGGCTTTAAGTGATTAATTATCCCATTGCAAAAAAAAAAACAAAAACACCTTTTTATTTATGGATTTCATATAGAGGATAAAAACGAATTTGGTTGCCCAAACTGTGTCAAATAATATGTGAAGGTTCCTGTGGTCTATTAATCACGACATTACATCTTATCTTCTCAGGTTCTCAAATGCTTTGCTGTCATCGCCTTATACTACTTTCGTTTTTCATACATGCAAGATGTTATTATGTGTAGCAGGACGCAAATATATTTTTCGTTTGTTTGTTTTCTTGTACAAAAGTAAACATTTTCTTAGATATAAAGTAACAAAATGATTGCGTGGCTAGTTAATTAAGTGTAATTTCTATTTGGTCTGTTTTTAATTTGGGGTTTAATTTTTGCTCTTCGTGTTTAACTGGTTCCATTAAAATGAAATTCTTAGTGAATGTGCTCTACCCACGCTATTAAAGTAAAAAAAAAAAAAAACTATGAAAAAGCATTGTTAACGTTTATTCAAAACATGAATATTTTAAAGTGGAATAATTATGGGATTATTAATTGTGCATATTGATTTGCATAATCATTCAGAACTTGCTGAGAGTCTTGGGCGAGTATCACGTTATAATTAATGATTACGCAGGTTTATAGAGCGCGGAATAACTGCAGAATTCGTATCTGCAATTCACAGTGCAAAGTGAATTCAAATGAATTTCAAGTGAATTATTAGTATATTCGTATTTGCCCCTGGTTGAACACTGACTTTCGGTCTATGCTTCCATTGACTAGTTACTGGTTGGATAAGGATATATAATGTGCACATGTTATAGTTTCTAGAATTTATAAATAATCTTTGGGGACCTACATTGTCAAACAGCCTTTGGTGGGTGGAGATGTGAAACAATGAACACACTGTTTTTTTTTTTTTACATCCTGTCAGGTATTACTGGGTGTTACTGGGTATTACAAGATTTATGATGGTGAGATGATTAAATTTGGCGAAACTCATCATAGGGGGCAAATAGTGGACAGAACTGGACATTGCAGTGCTGCCTTTGGTAATAGCGGCTTGGTTCCAGGAACTACTTCAGGATAGATGAGGGTATGACAGTCATTATGGGAATCTTAGGGTGAATCAGGCAAATCCCTTTAAGCTAATGAAGAAAAGCCTGCCTCCTAAGAATATCACCATGGATCAGGAGACACAATTTTCAAAATTACTGAAAATTGCCCAAACACATTAAGGTGGACACAACGTACTGTCTGTTTTCCTCATCCCCTGTCTGTCATTTCCTTTACAACATGAGTGTACATGTTTTTTAAAAGTTCTTTTTAATGGCTTTTAATTTGTCACAATGCCTGGTCTTCCACGTTCCTTCAATGAGCGTATAATCTGTCCCAGTTTACTCATTGTAGGGATACTGCAGGCTCTTAGAAATCCTTCACTGAAATGGTGATCATCACATCCTGACAGCCGTTTGCAGGAGGCCAGCTATAACAAAGACCCCATTGAACAACCAACCATGGAAGGGTTAACAAAACAGCCCTAAACTGCTGGAGGACCAGTCACGTTGGCTGAGGGACCTTCATTAAGTCATTGACTGTTATTTAAATACCCAATATTTATGTGACAGTTTCTCTTTTTATCACCCAAGGGTTATGCATTTATAGAAAGATCAAAAATGTTTGTGCCCTGCTCTCCAAAAACAGAATTCTCTGTACACAATCGTGTCTTTTGGTGTTGGACTAAAATTAGATTCTCATGTCAGATACTTTAGGCATCAGTCTTCTGCTTGTAAGCCGATGCATAATTGTGTTTGAGAACTGGAGTATGCAAAGGCTGCCATGTGACTTGCTATGATCCTTATGGTGTTGGTGCCTTCTAGAAACATGAAAATTTATTTCAGAATATTTTAATGGCAGGAATTTTATAACTTTATATCTTATATCATAATCTATGATATACTTACGGAACGTTTGGGAATTGATTGCATGAACAATGTTATTGTTATAAAACTACACTCTCAGCAAAAAGAGTCAAAATTTGTACCTTTGCTTGTCACTGGGGCTGTACCCTCAAGGTTCTGCTATTTGTACCCCAGGTGAAGGTAATTGTACCTTTTCAGGTACAGAAATTGACTCTGAGGAACATTTCTGTACCACTGATGGTACATTAATGCTAATTGTACCTTTGGGATGTTCCTCAGAGTCCATTTCTGTACCATAAAAGGTGCCATTACAAGGGTACAGCCCCAGTGACAAGAAACTTTTTTCCGAGAGTGTAGAAGGAACACGTGGTGGCCTCATATCTCCAGGTCTGGTTAGGTGTGTTGAAATGTCTTATAGGTGTATAGGTGTGCGCTCTGCCATCCTCTCCAGGGGTTCCCCTGCCTCGTCCCCTGTGTTTCCTGGGCTTGCTCCAAGTTCACCATAACCCAGTACTGAACAAACTGTTATAATATGTATAACATATATATAACATGTAACAAAACCACAAACAACTATCACCCAACCCCACCATCACCACAGTGTCCTGGGATGAGAAGCACTACCCCCCCCCCCTTTATGAGGCCCCCATATCTTTCCGCAGGTCAAGCTGAGATATTTTAGAAGATCCCAGGCCTGAGGAATGTAACAGAACAACAGGGCCCTTTGATATAAACAAACAGTTTTTGTTTGAAGTCCAAACATGCATTAAATAGGAATTTCTCTTACTTCAGCCGAGGCAGACGGAAGCACATGCCTGTGATTAACTAATATACCCAGCTGCTGCAGAAAGCATAGCAATTTGCCAGCAGTTTGGGTTTTTGCAGTAAAAGTAATGGACCACCTCAGTAGAAGGGTGAGGATGAGACAACATCCACTGAGGGTCATGATCTGGTTCACCAGTGAATGTAGACAGTCAGAAAAAAGTACCAATATGTAACTTTGACGGTAAAATTACTTGTCTCTGGGGCTCAACCCTCAAGGGTCTGCCAGTTCTACCCTAGCTGTAGGTAGATGTATCTTTTAAGGTACAGAAATGGACTCTGGGAACATTTTTGTACCGTTGGCGGAACATTACTGTTGTTTGTATCCTGGAGAACAAACTGTATCAGGGCTGCAGGGCTGTAGCCTTTATTCTGACAGAGTATGGTGTCAGATCTTGGGGTTACTGTAGTTGGCCCGTTCTGATAGCCCTTTAATACAGCACCCCAAAAAAGTTCTTCGGGGTGTTTCTTATATGTTATTTATGTTGTGATTCTGGGTCTTCCCTGTCGTGAAGCGGAGGCTACATGAGGGACATTGCGGTAAGTCTGTCCCAGAGGTGTCGTTAGGTCCGATGACTCGAGTCTAAAGCTCCATATATTTTAAGCCCCAAATGCCAAAAGTCAAGCTCCAGATAAATTTGACTAAATTTGACCCTGATTTTTTCAATACCTAGAAACGCTCCTGGTCTGTACCCCACTGTTCCAGCAACTGAGCGTCCTGCGCAAACCCCCCCCCCGTTCTGCATCTTGCCCCCAGCTCCCCCCTGCAGACTGCCATGCTTTATGAAAGGCACCTGAATTTCCATCTGTTCAAATGTATACATTGAAATGGAAAACACATGAAGACCTTTATTCACTTTTCATCGTGACACACATAACCTCAACGAATACAAAATGTTTCTTCTCAAGGCTAGTGTACTGCAGTACTTTACTGTCCGCGAGGTCTAGTACTTAGTGACACACACACAGTGTTCCACCTGTCTTGTGCTCTGTTACTGCATTAAGTAAACTGTACAGAAACCTCTGTCTGGTCAATATATGGTGTCAATGGATATTCTAGTTGTCCAATCTGTTATTACTGATGGACCACTGACTGGGGCTCCGTGGAATGACGTGACCTTCTACTGCTGACTTTTCCGTACTGATTGAGAAGGCTCTGAAACACAAGAAAATCAGTATTTTCTTACAGCCTAATTCAGAATAAGTGCCGCAATGTAACAAGATGGATTCCAGTATGTGTGATGATGCAGTGATGCATGCAAGTAACCAGGGAGCCACAGGTGAGGGTATCTTGTGTGGACAGACAGCACCTCTTTCATTAAGGATTACTGTGGCCTGTGATCTGATGCAAGGGAAGGAAACCTACTATTAAGGTAGCTATTTTAGTTTGGAGAGCCAATTGGTCTACAGGAAGGTAGGGGCAATGTGAAAATGACTAGTTGTCCTGCCCATTCCTGCTTCTTTTTAATCCGTATTACCATAAATTCGTTTAATTATCAAGTATGGCTTATACAAGAATATTGGCCGAAATGTAATCAGACACATTACTGTCTCCATGGTGATATTTTTACACAGGTCCATTTGTAGAGATGGAGTGCAGTCATTAATGGACCCCAGAAGAAGGCTTCACTGGGTAATATGCTGTAATTATCCATAGCTGTAAGGTGTTGCACAAAGCACTTATTTGGATTGCTGGTGAATCACTGGGTAGCACTGTTGCCTCATACTGCCTTTTAATCTGTTCAGCTCCAACCTTCACTGTATGTGTGGATTTTATATATGTGTTGTGTAAGTTTCCTTACACAGTCCTAAGGCATGCACTTAGGATAATTGACCTCTCAAAATTTTCCTGCAAATGGCAAATTACAAGCATGTAACTGTCAAGGAGTCAACGAGGCATAAGTGCAGCTAGACTGAGCTTCTAAAGAATACCTAGTAATAGGTGTAAGTAGTATCAGAGCAAGAGCTATATAATGCATTTCAAGCATTGCAAAAAACCGAATGGGATCATTTGCTCAACGGACAGCAGCATGAGTATTCAGGGATCATAAGATACCAGCAAGAGAAACGTGGGGTGTCGGCTAGCAGAGGTGTTCCTGGAACAGATGGGTTTTGAGGTGTTTCCTGAAGCCTGAGAGGGAGTCTAATTACCGGATGCAGTTTGGGAGCTCATTCCACCATCAGGGATTTGGTGTGCCTTCAGAGAGCCACCACAAGGGGAAGTCATTACCTGGAATCAAATGTTCAAATTACCTTTAAAATGCAAATGGGAACTATATACCAGTATCCAGGAGTGAGAAAAAATAAAACAGCACGATGCGACTCAATCCCCCACGTGGTAAATGGAAAACATTCGTAGGCTCCAGTGAACCGCTAGGGGTCGCTGCTTTCCATAAAACACTAAAATAACTTTTTGGTCCTGTCGAAACTATCAGGGGCTGCTAACCTTCGAGGCTCTGATTAGGCGGGGTCACTTCCTGTCCGCCCCCAGGCGGAGCCATCATCCGTCCACGGCTCTGATGTGATCCAGAGGATCGCCACCTGCTCGGGGCTGTCCAGCAATCTTGAGGCAAGACAAGAAAAGAGCAGCTCGAGCGCGAGAAAGAGTGAATGCTAAACTTCAGTGAGAAAGCCAACTCCATCATCATCGTCTTTATCATCATTAAAACAGAGTCTAAAAGGTGTGCTCAGGAAACTGGCAGGCATAATAGACTAACTGAAACCAGCGTTCTTATTTTCGTTAAACCATAAAACGTAACTGCTAATGGAACACGTAGCAAGAGTTTAAATAAGTTTAAGTATCTCACCGGTACTATTCCTTCCTTTTGTATGGTCATTTTATATAAGCGCATTTCAAGGGAATAAACAATAAAGAAATAAAAACTAAACACATTAATTACAGGGGATTTGGAATTGATGAAATCGTAGTTTGCATATGTTCATAGTACATAAACTCCTCCCTTTCTGAAATGTCTGTCCCTATAACCTGCTCCTTAACACCACGGAAATAAAGTTTGAAAGTTTATTATCACTATTAATATTTTATTATGATTACTCCCTGGAGTTTACTTTTTATGATGCTGACGCTGTTACTACCATCCTGAACACAAGGGTGAGGGACAGAGGGGGCGTCTTTGATGCTTCTGAAAGAAGGGAAATATTCGGACCTAACGTCAGCCCCTGCTTTGTTCTTAGGCCGACTTTCAGTCCCTTAGCAATTAATGCTTAATTCTTTATTGACTTTATTGGCAGCTTCCGTAGCGGCAAATTAAGAATTCATAAAGCAGCGCTTTTCTGTTTGTATGTTTCACCTACAACTCGTTTTTTCTAATTTTACGGTTATTTCAATGGGGTTATGCAACTCCAAGCTTTTTATAATATTTCTTTCTGTAACGGGGCAAACTAGGTAAATAACATGCAGTTAGGTTAATTTCAGTAGCCCGATTGTTTGATTATGTCTAAGTGCGTGTGTGTGTGTGTGTGTGTGTGTGTGTGTGTGTGTGTGTGTGTGTGTGTGTTTGTAAAGCAGTGGACTGGCCTTCAAGGTGTACTTTATGCCTTGTACTATTTATTATAGGCTCCAGCCCCACGCGACCAGGATTTACAGTCGGAAGATGGATGGATCTGAACTACTTCAGAGATATAGGATATGCAGCAAAAAATGTGCATCGTAAATTATGCATTATTTATATGTTTATTTATTTGCTATTTATTTATTTATGCATGTATGTATGTCTGTATGTATGTATGTATGAAGAATTAATCGCCCCCTCCATTAGCATTAGCAATCTAGCTATACAATCAATCCCTGAAGCACTGGCCCGCGGCCTGTCGGTGCTGATGCTGCCGGAGAACCGCAGAGCCTCTCATTGGTCAGAGCCTCGCCGGTCTCCTGGGCGGGTGACGTCACCGCTGCTGGAGAATCAGCATCGTCCTTTGTGAGGCAGTGCGGCGCAGCGGCGGCAGCTCGCTATAAAACCCTCCGGTCGGTGCATAGCCAGCTTTCTGCTGACGGCTTACCTCAGACCCGTATTTCCTCCTTCACACTCGCAGGAATCACACAGGACAGAGGGAAAGGATGCGAGAAATTGTTCACATTCAAGCTGGCCAGTGTGGCAATCAGATTGGAGCCAAGGTAAAAACCATTACAGATGAAAATTCAGTCGTTAATTTAATATGCATTACTTTGCATTCATAATAATGTAAATGAAGTGTCCCGACTTTTATCAGTCTTCTATAGATCTACTTGTTATAACAGTTGAGCGACAGTAGCCATAACTTGTTCTAGAAACAGCGATAGCATTGTGAACGACGCTAACAAGACATAAGTTAATGCTGTGAAAATGACTTTGACTGCATTGCCTGACGGTGTGCCGTAGACTGCCGCTGATTGACTCCTGAAATATATGACCACGCCCCGCAATGCAGAAGGTCTGCCTGAAGTGAACGTTATATAGCCGGATTCATAGAAACAGCGAAACATTTTTAAAGTTTTTAAAAGGAAAAATGTGGGGCGTGGAGTTTCCTTATTATAAATTAACTAAAACCGAGCAGAAAAAGTGCAAGCCGAGCTGTGTCTAGAAAGTTTATTTAACAGTTAAAGGAATGAAAATGAAATGTTAAAGCTGAACGTGCGCTTAAATGCGGAAAGGCTTCAGCAGTGCCAGTCGCCACATGCCACACCCTCAGACTGCAGACTGCGAACAAAGCCGCCGGTCCGGTCTGCAACTGCCACCATCCGTCAGCAGTGCACATTCTGCTCATTCATCCCTCTCGCTAGGAACGAGGCACTCTGCCATCCTGCAATTACAGCCGTGATTATCATTGCAGATGAGAACTTACTCTCCGTTTGCAAGCATTTCATGCATGACTCACCCTTGGAGCGAGAAACAGCGTCGCCCACTTGAATTTACGGGGTTTTTAATTTTGTGCCTCTTACTTGCCTAATACGAAATCCTTACTTACAAAGCTGCAAAAGCTGTCTCTTTCACTGAAAAGGGTTTTTTACGAAAAGGAAGCTATTCCATCTCGGTGGCTGTACCATAGTATGCTTCCATAATCACATCAGTCCTGCAAATAGATTTTCTGTAACTCCTGCAGTATAGTAAATGCTTATAATGCACCAAGTCATTAGATAATGGCGAATTTAAGGTGTTAGGGGGGGTTATTAACCCTTTCAGTGTTCATGATTTAATTTGGCTTGAGTTAGTTGATTTTCTCACTTGTACTGATCAGTTGCAGTAGAAATGTCCCTCTTAGTTTTAAGCATGTGCCATTGTCTCTGGGTCTCATCCAGCCTGCTGCCACGGCTTATCTTCGGTCATATTACTGTTGCCAATTTTCTTACAGATCATAAATAAATGCAGCTATATTGCATGCAGTTTGAATCAAACTCTCCAGTTTAACCCAAGTGACAAACTTAATGGTTTTTGCATGTAAGAATAAGAGCAAAACCAGTTTATAACAGTATTTTTATAATGTAATTAATATCAGCAGGGACACCTATTCTTGTGCGTGAACTGAACCCAGTTTGGCCCACATTACACCAGCTCTGATACATTTCGCCCAAGATGCACCTGGCATCTGACTTTCTATTGTCTCAAGCAGCCCAGCAGCCACTTAGTGGGTTAATGACCCCAACTGAAGGACAGGAATGAGCCTCACAAATGGTGTTACCATCCCACAATGAAGGTGGCCTGCAACATTTTGCATATATTAATATGAACCATTTTATTGAAAGAACAATTTCCATTCATTCTATAGCTGACTTGCATTTATTGATTACCTTTTATAATTTCAGCATTACATTTAGTACCATGGATTAATGATGTTACTGTGTGAGACTTACTAACTAAAATCTCTTCAACATTTCAGGGTCTTACTGCCTTTTCATTTTATGCTCTGTGGCTTTAAAATGCATTCAGCAAGCATCCACCAGAAATGAATGAAATCATTAAAAAATGCAGCATTTAAATGGACTGAATTGCAGTGGGAAGGTAACAGGACTTGACAGCAACCTAAAATGGCAACTGAAGCATCTCACATTCTCACATGCTGATGCCATTTAATAAATATTAGCCATGAAGAATGGGATTCCCAGCACTAAGGCTCTGCCTGATCTCCTCTCCCTGCGGGCAGATTGTAAGGCAGTCGTATTGATTCCTGTATGGGATGTGGCATGTGCTGGGCATCTCATTGGTCTGTAGGGACCGTCTCAGAGGGGGAGGGTGCAATTTCAGCATGAATCGATGCACGTCAATCTCCATGCTGCTTTGAGAAAATGCACAGTCATGCCCCCGTAACACGGGGCTGGACGCCCCCCCCCCCTTGCGGTGGGGGGAGGGGTGTGCAGGATGAAGGCCACACCTCACACCAGGCTCATGGGCACCGGGTTAGATGCATGCAGGGTGGAGCGGCTGGCCCCTTCTAGGTGACTTCACATGCATCGCAGCTGTCACTCACTGCTGGGGGGGAGGCAGAGGAGAAAGGTGGGGGGCTGGGCTGCTGGAAGAGCACAAAGGGAACCACCCATTCAGCAGAAAGCAGGGGGGAACACTGATGCATGATGACTAGAGCTGATTCAGTGGTGCGGGGGGCTGGAAAAGCTTGGAGGTGCGTCTGTTCTGTTGCTGCACAAAAGGAGAAACAGAGATTCCAGAAAACCGGCATAGATGTCACCGAATGTCCCCTCTGAGAAGCTGGTTGTGGGTCCACTGACAGACACAGTACCGTAGTACATTCCGTCGTTTGTCTATAGCAGGGGCGTAACTTTGGGGGGATTGAGGTCTCCACCCATTTAGGGGGATTTTTTTTTTGGGGGGGGGGGAAATCTTTTGGGGAAGGGAGCTGGAGGGGGGGGCTGGATGACATAATGGAATGACATCATGGTCTCAGCTTGATGGAAATTGTAGAAGTCAGTTCAGGACGGCACATCTGCCACATCATCGTTTCTCCATCTGAGCTCAGATTTCCCACCAGGACACACACATCCACATGCCTCGTGATGGGGTTTGAAGACAAAGGAGACAAAAAAAAACAGCCTGTACATGGGAAGGGGAAGGAGATGGACCCCCACCCCCACCTCCACAATCCAATCTCTTTTGGTGCACCTGCTACAGCCAGCAGAAGTGACTAAATAATGTGAACCCCCAGAATAGCATCCTAATTACCAATTTAGATACAGGATAGCATCTGTGCCGGAGGGTGGTGGGACACACTCTGACATCACCCCCGGTGTGGGGGGGGGGGGTGGATGGAGATGAAGCAGTACGGGGAGCATTGTTCAACCACTCTCTGAGGAAGGAGGGGCCTGTTATAGATTGTCTTAGAGGGTGGGGGAGGTGAGGTGGGCTGTCAGTGCCCCCCCCCCTTTGCAGGAAAAGACGGGTTTGCTTTGTCATGGCTTATAATGAGCTGCCTGGACCTTGGCCCTCCGTGTTTGTCAGGCTAAATGCCGTGTAGATTAAGCTTCCCTTTTTATCAGATCTGCAACACCCCTTGGATCAGATTTTTTTTTGTAGGGGTCTGATGTCCAACCCAAATAAAGAACGACGTCTGATACTTCATGTTTTTTTAATCATTCTGTTTCATGCCAGGTTGGTGTTAGGATGTGCTGCTTTTTTTATGAAACACAAATGTGTTGTAAAAGTGTGGGAAAACTGTAAAGGTCACCTTG